AAACAGTGAGGCAGGCGCATACCGCCGCCAACGCTCTTGGGGAAGAGACTGAACACACTTTCAAACCTTTACCACAGCTATATCAGACCTTTCCTAAATGCCTTTCCCTAGAGGGAAACACACACATGCACAGATGCAAACGGAGAGATGCTCTTTAAAAAAAAAAAAAGCTTTACTTCTGAGATTACTGTAGTTGTATTTTCCCATCATTCACCTTGTCACAAACCACATCATAGTTATCATACAGAAACCTTGTTCAGCACTAAATCATGAAAATAATCATTTAAAAATATACATTATCACTAAAACCTCTCCATTAAACTCCCTCTTCCTTCACCTAGTATTTTTTTATACTGACCAGAGTGGCTTAATCCATTTTTGAGAGCCAGAAGCGATTACTGGGAAATACTAAAGAGGACGGGGGAGCACTGAAATGGTACAGCCTGATAGATAGAGGAGCGAGAGACAATGTGTATGAGTGGAATAGTAAAAAGAGCCCCTGAGATGAAGAGGGGGCACATGGTGGGAGGAAGGGAGCGAGAGCGAAGGAGGGAGGAGTATGGTGGCGTGGAGGCACAGAGCCAGAAAATTGCATTGCGTGCTTGTGATTAGTTTACCTCCTGGGTCTCGTTCTCTCTCACTCCCCTCCTCTCACTCCCCAGGTCCTCTACTACCTCTAGTAGTAGCTCTGCCTTGCCACTTTCACCACATCTTGCCTCCTTCCACTTCCTGTCACTACATCACACTGTCACTTCTCTCTATTCTCTCCTCTTCCTGCTTGCTCTCCTCCACTTTTTGGCAGTTATCTCCACCGCCTCTCCTCTCTATCTCTGCCCCCCACCCCCTTGTCCTCCTTGTGTGCTGACTTGGCTCTTGCCTCCATTCTTGTGTTATCTTCAGGGCTTGAAAAAATGTCACCAAACCTACAAGCAAGCCCATCAAACCTTGGAAAAAATAGATTTGCTGAAAGATGTTTATGGTTAAGTGATATTTGTGCTAAATCTCTGAAGCAGAAGGCAGATTTACACAGAGAACCTCTAATCAATCGCTAAGTCAGGAAAGCATTTTAACACCATAAACCAGCCCTGCTAATTATAGTCTTAAGAGCAGTAAACATGATAAACATGAGCTTGAAGTGTCTCACTCAGGACAGCAGAAATGCTGACACTGAACGGAAGCCAGCATCCACATCGCCCTTTTTCGGTTGGTACACTTTGAAAAGCAAGTGGGTCAAGCCTTTTCTTCTTAATCCACACATATTCTGGCCCTTCCTCTATCTGAAAGCAGGGGTGGTGGGGGCAGGGGTTAGCAGGTGAAATACAGGATGACAGGCTATTTTTGGATTGGACATTTATTTACATTATGACAACAAAACCAGAAGAGACAGAAATTCAGAAATATCACTGCAGCTGACACTTTAACTTTTAAAAGCAAGCGAGTCAAATGATAAAGAATGAATAAGTCTATGGTAGTATGAAGGGAGAAGCAGGGTTTCACACGTCTCAAAATCTTAATTTGTTTATTTTACATAAAGTAATATTACCATGTTCTGAAACAATCAATCAGTTATTGCTTATTTGATAATAAACTGAATATCTATAGGTTTTTAATCTTGGATTTTCAGCAGATAGTTAACCTTTAATTGCAACTAGTATCCATCAGTGTTAAACTTTTCTCTTGACTTGTTCTCTGATGGAAAATATTTGTAGATGCAAATATGTAAAACCAGCCAAACATCAGACGAATCTAGTTGAAGCAGAAAAGAAACTGTGGTAAACATTGCTGTAAGGAGGTTTTTGTGAAATGTCACATACACCATAAAGTTTTCAGGCTACAGTGATTGCAAGATTGGTGTATATAGTCTCTATGCAATGTCTGTGCGATAATAATGGTCAGAGCTGAATTATGCAGATTTAATTTTAACTGTTGAATGAAATCAGTCGTTTAATTAAGCATGCCCTTCATTTGATTACCAATCTGGATATTGGAGAGTGCAGCCACAGTGCTGATGGTAGCTGCTCGTGCCCAGATGAAGTGATCAATAGGATTCTGTATCTGAAAAGCAAGGCAACATCCCTTTTCTTTAGCACCAAGTCTGAATCTGCACCTCCTTATCTTTAGTCCCTTATTGGAGAATGATCCCACATTATCTTAGATCAGCCTGAAACTCTGGCTGAGCTGCCTTGACCATGTGATTTGTGTACCTTTCTTTTCCTCTTGCACTGTTCAGTCCTCTTCCTCTTTCTTTTATTGTCTATTCATCTCCTTTCTTCTCTTCATGCCTCATTCACTATCATCTTGTATCCTTTCCTCCAGTTCCCTTTTTTACCCTCTCCTTTCTACTTAGTGGTGGCACAATGTCACATGACCACAGTGCAATGAGTTGGTATACCTGAGGACTGTTGCTAATGGTGACAAATGACTGGCTGTGCACAGAGGAAAAGCAACAAAATACAGCAAGAGGAGAGCTACTATACCTACTGGGGGTCATCTGCACAGACAGAGAAGCTGCTCTGCCTCTGCCACATGAAATGTGAAACAATATCAGTTTTCTTCAACATCTGAATCATAGTGATAGTCCAACATTTCAGAAAATATACATATTCACTTTCGCGCCTAGTGTCAGAGGAAAAGATCTACTGGCAGGTTACCATTAGCGTAGCTTAGCATAATGAGGAAGAAAATGGACAGAAGCAGACTAATTTCAACAAAATTACAAATCCAAGGACTTATTAATAATAATAATAATAAAACTTCATTAGACACAACCAGTGGCTGTGTGTTCAGATTTATATTAGGTAAAATGAGCTTGTAAATTTAGCTACAGTAGATTAGCTTGGTGGCAAAAAGCTAAAATCGACATTTTGCCATCAACATCTTGAATGTTACCACATACCAGTTTTGTGCTGCTACAATATATATTTGTTCATTAATAAATGAAACTAGATACAAACACTGTATAGTATTGTAAGAGTTGAAATGACTGGTGAATTTATACAGGAACTGCCAGAAAAGGTGTCACGGGTTTGTTGACACTAGTTGTTTTCACCAAGCAGGAAATGTTCAACATCTCAGACTTCAAATTACAACTAGGAGAATGAATGATTTGGTATCTTTGATTTCTAGAGTAAACCCACGTAAATAATGCTAGTTGTGATTAACTGAAATGAACCGAGCTGAAATTATTTCACAGTAGACATTTTGGAAAATGTCCAATAATCTGCCAAACTGCAGTAGGTTTGTATTTAACTAGTAATATTCTTATTAATGCTAGGGAAACAAAACGTCCATCTTACTGTATATCACTTCATCTACTGCATACATATGAAGTGTTATTTTTACAGTGTTGATATTTAGTGAAGACGTCAGAGGTGCTTAACCAGTACACACTCCAAGAACTGACAGGGCGGAGCAGATTTGACACAGCATGTCTCATTTTGGCTTGCCGCTCCCTGTTGCTTTCAGCTTGCATCATGTCAACCTGGTCTCTATACAACATTCCAGCATCTCACATTGTGGGAATTGCCCAAATGCCCTGGTCACAGATTACTGTGCTTGTATATGAGAGTATCTGACTAGCCTGTGGGACTCATCTCATCTACAGCCAGGGCTATTCACTGCCATTGGGAGGATAAAGACATGTCTGATGTAGGATCAGTGGAAGGCCACTGAGCTACAGTACATCACGCCACAAAGTGTTTCTGGAAAGTGCAAACCCCCCTGGTATTGACATACATAAACAATACTTCTATATTATATTTTAAAGTCCTTTATTTTAATTTCTCTCTCATAGAAGCTGAGATGCTGAGTGGAAGAGATGTTTGCTGTAACAGTTTTCTTTGGCACTGTACAAATTGGCAAATGCTGAATAACACAACACTGACATCACTGCTAAGCTCCTGCCGAAGCTGCGATACTTTCATTCACTCTAAAGGACAAATAGAGAGTGATTTGTGAGATAGTCTGCCGAAGTGTCCTTGAGCCAAGATACCTTTGGAAAATCAACTGAGTATCACTAGAAATGCTATTAGCCATTCATACATAGACAGCAATCTATGCGTTCCCACTGCTGTCAACCCAGTGAGGTAACAGCGCTCTGGGGGACAGGAAAATCTGTTCCTGTCATACTTTGATAGAAAACCAGAGAGACTTTCTTGCTGCACACACATACGATACAGTGTGTAAGGCTGCACAGGAGCATGAAAGAATATTGTGTTTTCTGTGCTATGTGGGTATGAGTACAAATTCTAAATTTTGTAATTTAGACTAATAGAAGAAAACCTTAGACTCAGGAAAGCTGAAGGGCAGTAGTGTACTTGAAGCTGCAAGGATCCGGGCAGGCAGAGGACTGTACAAACTGTGAATTGAGAGGAACTGCGGAAATAAGGGGATATTTATTCTGTCAATTACAGTACAAGTTACAGGGGTAGACTTTCAAAGTTATGAACATGGAGATGCCATTAATAATTAAATGGAACTAAACAAGAAAGGTAAATCAAATAGGCAAAAAGCCTGATAGAAATTCTGACCAGAGCTGCCAGATTGGTATGCACCAAAGTTGCGACTATTATTTTCAACGTTGATTTTTCTTCCCCAATAATCAATTAATAGTCCATTAGAAAATAGTGGAAAAAAATATTACAGCAAAATGACATCAGAAAGGGTGGAGACACAGTCAAACAGTACAGAGCGAGGAGACAGAATGTCCATGTAACTAACTGTAACTGTAACTGCTACACCCCTCTCACATACACCCACACATGCGCCATAGGAAAAAAAAAAAACAGAAGAAACTGAATTTTATCCTTTGAACAGGGTGGGGTGTTTGGGAGAATTATTAAAGGGTAAGACAGAGATCTGAACATATTAAGCAAAAAAAGCGAGTGAAATTTAAATCTCTCAGACAAAGGAGGCTTAAACCTCATTGAGAGTCAGTGTGTGGCCCCTCAGAGTGACTCAGGGTGACTCATTGTAGCTGGCACTGCCTCCTCCTTATTCACATACTTTTTAATAAACCTTGTGGCCTTGTGTATGTTATGTGTCCCCCATGCCCAGTTCTGCCACATTTCACATTTTAACAGACAATGCATAAGCTCTGCTAAACTGTGCTGTAATAGCACTCGTGATCTTCTTGTGAATCAGCTCATGACAAGATTTTGAAATGCCGTCTGAGCTGCTGAGCCTTCCCACGAACATTACTTAGAAGACAGATGCTAGCAAACTTAGCCAGGTGTGTGTGTATGCGTGTGTGATCCTTAACCACCCACTCAAGAGATTAGTGTAAGGGTGGTTGGATGATTCATCAGTCAATGGCTTTGGAGGCTAGGGAGGAACAACATGGCCAAGCAGCCAGTTATCCACATGGTCTGTGTGTGTGTGTGTGTGTCATTCCACCTGTCCCTCACTGCAACTCATGCTCAGATCTCAAGATGTCTACTCATGCAAACATTGTAATTACAGTTTCAGGTCTGTACCTGGATGGTTAGTCAAATGAGACGCAGGTAAATCTTGTGTTTCAGAAGATGGTGTGTGTTTGTCCGCATCTGTGTACATGTATGTAGTGTGCTCGAGGTGGGGGTGGGGAGGCTCACGGCAGCCTGTATCTCGACAGCAATGGCAGACGGCTGGGCTTGGAACACGACCCCGGCACAGTGTCGGGCTGTTAGGCAATGCCTATGATGCTTAATGAGCCATGAGCGATTGCTATAATCTTGCCACAAATAATTCATGAGGAGCCCTGTAGAGGAGCTCTGGAGCTAAAAGGGAAGGGGGAAGAGGGAGGCACCAAGAAGTGGACTACAGCCTGAATGGAGTGAGGGTGGGACACAAGGGGGAAGAAGACAGAGAGCAAGAGATGCATCTGAAAAATGTGTCTGGAATAGCCAGGAAATCCTCTATTACCTATAGCGCTGACAAGTCTGTGTGTGGATTTGCTTGTGTGCTTATTTTTAGGGGGTGTTGTGTTACTACATTAGAAAAGGCACAGTGGGAGTGTTAACAGTGTGCATCACAATTGCAGGATGTGTGTGAGATGGTGGGGAAGGCATGCGCTATGTGTGTGTCGAAAACGTGATGGAGTGAGTTCAGATTTTCCTGACAGCTGTGAAACCCAGAGCGTTTAACTGTTTTTTATGCTGAAACCTAGGGAATCTGAACTAACAAACTGTTATCAGAGTGGGAAGTGGCACATGTGAAAGTGTAGTGAGAACTCTCATTTACTTTTATGTGCTTGAATATAAGCACATAAGTGTTATCAGTGTAAAATGAATGACAAGCTACAACTGAGGAAGAGCTTGCTGCTAATATTCAGTCACTGATGATGAAATATCTGACTACGCTACACACATTTATTGTTTTTAGTTAAATGTGTCAGCAACTATTAGATCAGATAAATTAAAATTAGGTAGAGTGTGCATTTCAATAGCCTTTCATCTAGTGCCAATGTCAGGTCAAAAGATTTCATTTCTCCCAATACCTGAAAAAACTAAAAACATTCCCATCGGCCTTAGCTGAATGTCATTGTGTTTAGTGCTAAAAATGTGTATATTAGCATGCCAAAACATGCAAATAAGATGGTGTGCATGGTGTATATCACACCAGCTAAACATCAGCATGTTTGCATTGTCGATGTAAGCATGTTAATTTGAGCACACAGAGCTCCACAGAGCTGCAAGCATGGCTATAGTGAGACAGTTCCAGAGGCCATGAAAATCACTGTTTCTGAAGAAGGCATTACAGACCAGTGAGACATATCAGTGTAACACATAGACTAATGGAAATTGGGGGATGAAGACAAAGGGCCCTTGTAGGTTTCTGTGGCATGTCATTAGTGAAAGAGAGAGGTGGACTTGTTCCATCTGACATTTACCAGTCTGACTGGAAATGTCATGGAATGCCAGCCTTTATCTCTGGATATAGCAGTGGCTCTTGCAGCCCAGAGCTATTGATCCCAAAAACCGTTTGTCCATTTTGCTCCCTTTGTTGTTCCCCCGTGCACTGTCCCATGAAAGTGCCCCATCCCTGTAGCGTGAAATTTCCTTGCCCAGTCAGACCTCCCTCTGTTTTTGATTACTCCATGCATTAGCAGCTTGTAACAGTGCTAAGGAAAGAACAGATCCTCATGGGGCAATCAGTTGTGCTTTTCATGTAAAGGATGGATAATAACTGTATATCCTCTACATTCCATGACAAAACACCTGAATTACGGTTGCAAGTGAGCAAATGTAAGCACTATGTTGGCACTGTAAATTCTAAAATGTACCTTCATCAATAGATAGCTTTTCATATATCCACACTGATATTGTAGTTCCAGTTGTTGTGTGCAGAAGTTTTGTTTCCACTGTCTCTCTGGCTGTCATATCCGATTAGCTAACTGACTGATGGACTGACAGGACCATGTAGAAGTTAACCCGCGTTGTCTGAAAAAGAAGAGGCAAAAGGAAATAACTGTTTAGTGATCACAAGAACGCGTGTGTGGTTGTTCGTCTATGTGTTAGCCCTGCGATGGATTGGCGACCTGTGCTGGGTGTACCCCACCTTCGCCCGATTGCCGGCCGGGATTGGCTCCGGCCCCCCCGTGACCCCGTTCAGGGACTAAGCGGTAGGAAATGAATGAATGAATGAATGAATGATCACAAAAAAAGCGATTCCCTATTTTGTATTCCCAGCATACAATAAAAAATAAAAACAAAATAAAAAAAACGACTAATGCAGAAAATCATTATGCTGAATACCACTCAGAAGCATTTTCTGGTTGTGTCTGTTATGCTGCAGTAAATTTATGTCTCACTTTTAGGAACCGAATTTAGATCCATGGCCTCTCAATTTGTTCTTGGGAGTGCAACTGTCTAGTCTATTTCTGTCCTCGCTACACTATTGTCCTCGGTTGACTGCCTTCACATCAAGTGCTGGATTTATTTGGCCACTGCCAGCTCAGGCAGATAGACCCTGCAGCTACCACCCAGTATGCAATGACTGAAGTAACAGTTAAGATAACTATAAACCACTATAATTATCATACTGGTTTGAGTCATTGTTTTCTCTACAGCTTGCCAGACTGCTGGTTTCCTTCTTTTTGTTGTCTTGATTTCCTTTCATCTGATGGATTGATGTTTTTACCCGAGCGAGTGTGTGGTGTAACGTCCAAAGCTTCGATCCACTAAATGTTTTCCTTGTCATTGTTTTCCTGTCTTCTTCTGCACATTGTCGGCTCCAGCTGCAGCACTGCGTTTCAAAACAAATCCATACCCAAAGAAGATAATGATCTTAATTAGCTATATCACACCCCTCAGCATATTACACTTTGCTCAGCAGTGACTTTCTGTGCCTTGTCTTTAAGTAAAATAAAAAAATAAAAAAAACAGAGTGGTAGAGCTTAGACTGCAACAGGAGCTTGATTCAATTAGTTATTACCTCTCGGCTGCATTGCCTACCATCTCCCTGGCTTCACCATTATGAATTCCTAACAGTTATCAAAATAGCTGCAGCAGCTGACAGTATGGATTAGAGGTGCACTTAACGAGAATGATTATTGTCCTGATTACTTTATGCATCCTATGACAAGTTCGATAACCACACCTTTGAAAGCCATAGAGGCGATTAAAAATGTTTTTAATCAGGTCAAGCCAGTGATGTTTATCCTGTTGCTGCTTTACACAAGTCAGTCACAATGTGTAGTAAATCTCCTAATATTTGTATCAGAATCAGAAACAATCAGCTTTATTGGCCAGGTGTGTTGGACACACGAGGAATTTTACTCTAGTACATCGGCTCTCAATGTGCATGTACATACAGTATCCCCATGCAAGGGGCAAGTAAACAGTAAACCAACATAAGGCTGTGTAGTATAACAAAATAAGTATGTGGTGGAAGCTATTGTTTTCATTACTTGAGGGCTTTGGAGTGGCAGTAAAATGAGGGGCAAAAGACAAAGTGGGGTTTTCTGAAAGTTTTCCTTAGTTACACTTATGTTTGGTTCCTTTCTTTATTCATTCTGTCCTGTCACTGTTTTACAATCACAGTCCACACATTTTTGCCAGATCCTCTAAGTGCAGCTAAGCAGCAAGTGGTGAGGTTTTTTTTTTAATATTTAGATGTAATTTTTTTTTCTTCCACTCTCGTTTTTTTCTCTCACACTCTGACTTAAACTGGCGTTATTTTTAAAAATTATTATTTGTGTTCACTAAAGTCTGAAAACCCCCTTTAACTTATTCAGGACCCATTGATAAGCTCCTTATGGATATATTTCTGTGTAGTAAAAATGCAGTTAAGCATGCCCTCTAGTGTTGTCGAATCTCAATCAATGTGCAGGTGAACTGTGACTTTATGCTGTGAATGTCTTTAGGTTGCATATCATCACTCTCTTTTGTGTTGATACAGTAAAATATTTATCATTGTGTGCATAGTAAAATACACCAGAGTGATGGGATTGTCTGACTTTCTGCCCTTTCTCTCTCCACAGGTACATCCGAACCATGTACCTCGGCATACAAATTCACCGGCAGAAGGAGAATCAGCGGCGATTTTACTGGGCTATGATGTACGAGTATGCCGATGTCAACATGCTGCGACTGCTAGAGACCTTCTTAGAAAGCGCCCCTCAGCTGGTGCTGCAGCTCTGCATCATGATCCAGAGCAACAAGGCTGAGTGGCTTCAGTGTAAGGGGCTCCCTAAAACTCTAAGCAACACCAGAGTCTTGTTTGTCTGTTTAAGACATTTCTCTTCTCTTCTTCTGTGGTTATTACATGATGTTGAGATGATTATTTTATACATGACAGTTTTTTGCAATGGTGGAAGAAGTACTCATATTGTTTACATAGGTAAAAGCAGCAATACCACAGTGTAAAAATACTCTGTTAACATCCAGCATTCAAAATGTTAACTACAAAAGTACTGTATTATCAGCAAAACATACTTAAAGTACCAAAAGTAAAAGTAATCATTATGCAGAATGGCACATTTCACATTCATGTATAGTATATCAGTGGATTATTGATGCATTATTGTGTTTATAACTTTAATGTTGCAGGTGGTAGAGAAGCAGCTAATGTTAAGTAACTAATTTGAAGTACCATACATACTGCCGGGTAGCTTGTAAATGTCCTACTGAGGATCTATAAAATCTTATGTTTATACTTAAATTTGTTATTAATCTGATTCTGAACAGTAACTTGTAAATAAAAGTAGTGCACTAAAAAGTACAGTATTTCTCTCTGAACTGCAGTGAAGTAGCAGAAAATGAAAATACTCAAGTACAGATAGCTCAAAATTATATTTAAGTAGGCTATAGTACTAAAGTAAATGTACTTACTTTCTACCTCTGTTTTTTTGTGAAGTTCACATATTTATAGCGATATTCACAGGTTACAGGATTCTCCCTCTTTGTATCCAGTTTCCAACATTCATCACTCTTGTTATTGAAACCTCTTTTACAATTCCACTTTCCTCATGCAACAGCTCCCCGAGGAAGGCAATTTAATCATACCAAGTGATACCCTTCTCTGTCGGGGTGTCTACAGAAATGCCATCAATACATTTACTGAGAGGCACCATGCTGCTGCTCTGCAGATAGTCCTCTATTATTTTTTATGCAGCAGGTTACTGGTCTGACATATCTGCTGTCTCCGCTATTATACATATCTTAAGAAAACTGAACTGGTACACTAAATGGAGACTGTGTTGACGGAATGACCTATGATGAGTTTGGTAATAATATGCCTTTCAAAAATGTGATGGATTGCTTTAGCTGAAATAAAGCCTACTGTATGCAGTGAGTGGAATGGCAACCAAAGTCAAGAGAATGCTTTATACTTAAATTGAAACTGGATTTTTCATTCAGTCTTTCATGTTTTCAGAACCATCTAGCAGTATCTCATTCTTGCCATTCTTAGTCTTTCCCTGCTTTTACTCTTTCTCTGTCTATATTCCCAGGTGTTTCTGCCATGACCTCCCTCTTGTCCCTGGCCTGGGTGCTAGCCTCTTACCACAAACTCCTGCGTGATTCACGTGACGACAAGAAAAGCATGAGTTACCGAGGTGCCCTGGTGCATCTCTTCTGGCGCCTTTTTACCATCTCCTCACGGGTGCTCTCCTTTGCCCTATTTGCCTCTGTTTTCCACATCTACTTTGGCATTTTTGTGGTGCTCCATTGGTGTGCCATGGCTTTCTGGGTCATCCATGGCGGCACCGACTTCTGCATGTCCAAGTGGGAGGAGGTACTGTTCAACATGGTGGTGGGTGTGGTCTATGTTTTCTGCTGGTTCAGTGTACGTGAGGGCCGGACGCGGTACAGAATGGTGGCTTATTACACAGTAGTACTGTTAGAGAATGCCATCCTCAGCTCACTTTGGTATGCGTACCGCGACCCAGCCACCACTGACGCCTATGCTTCTTTTGCCCTCTGTGGCGTCTTCCTGTGCTTTGCCTCAGGTGTGGCCTGTATGGTTCTCTATTATGGGGTCCTACACCCCATGGGTCCCCGCCTAAGGGTGCTGGCCAGCTCCTGCTGTGCTGAGCTACTGTGGGGCCTTCCATTACCCCCCGAGGCTGAGCCCATGGCTCCCACACCAGGCCCCCGTGGTTCTCAGGCCACCCCCACAAGGGGTCTGGCAGGGGACCATGTGGCATCAGATGAAACAGCCACGGACACCTGCCTTCCAGTTTTTCAGGTGAGGTCCACAGAGCCTGTGGATGCAGCCGGCAGGCCCATCCGGCCTGAAGGTCCCCTCATCAAAATAGACATGCCCAGAAAACGCTACCCAGCCTGGGATGCACACTTTGTGGATCGGCGCCTGCGCAGGACCATAAATGTGCTTCAGTATATTAGCCCTAATGCAGTGGGCATCAGGTATAGGGATGGTCCACTTCTTTACGAACTCCTGCAGTACGAATCCTCCTTCTGAAGGCCTCCTCTCCAATGCACACGCGTTTCCTTTCTTTCATTCTGCTCTTCCACCCCTTCAGATAGGATATCTTTCCGTTTGACACTTGGCTCTCTCCTTGTGTTCTGTCATTCAGTTTTCCTGCAGGAGATGTGTGTTTTGTCAAACAAAAATCTGTCAAGATTTTTGTTTAAACACACAGTCATAATTTATTTTTGAAAGAACATACAGTAAAATTATGAAGCTACAATATTTTATGTGATATATACAGACGTCTCATATAAATTGCTCTATATTGATAGAGCAGGGTTCTGTATGAGTGTGTAGATAACATATGAATGTTTCATTATGAAATGTGTTTAATGCATTATACTGTATTGGTGATTCAACCTGTGAATACTTGTGAAGGGCACATTGTGTGTCCCTGTGACATGGGACTGGTGCAAAGCCTGATGGGAATGATGGAGGAGAGTCTCAGAGCAGGCAGGTCTTTGCACACCCCAACATTTACTGCCATTCTTTATGTAAATCATTGATATGTATAATAGTGTTTACCAAGTCCATAAATTGAAAAGCACTGACATTTCTATTATGATTCCATAAATTGTAGATAGGACACGATCAAAGATGCGTTTCAGAGAAGCAATTCGAAATTGATTTTCCCTCTGTGAGCTTACGTGGCTCAAGTGTGTTCTGAATGTACTATTTTCATCCAAAATCCTAAATCATAATCGCATCATGTATGGAAGAAAAAAAGAAGCACACTGACCTTCAATCAGTTTCACCCACATGTTTAATTTTTAAAGTGCAGACAGCCCCCCAGTGGATGCAAGCTGTAAAAGCACGCCTTACTTTGTCATTGTTGCCTGTAGATGTGACAGCACAAAATATTATGACAACCACTTGAGAAAGAAATAAAAAGAAAACACAATGAAAGGAATGTAGAATGTACTGGAAATGAGCACAAGGTTTTTAAATTACTGGGTAGAAAATCATAGTAAAAACATTCCAAAGACTTCTTTTTTTTAAAAAAGACTGTAGGTGTTTAGTAGAGGGTAGAAGGGTACAAATGTATATTAACATGCACTTTTTCTGAAGCGCAAAGACAGCCTTCAAGGAATCCTCCACCATTCCCTTCTGAATCCTAGAACGTACTCCCTTTTCCAATCTCCCTATTTTGTTTTCTTATCAACAAATGTTATAGGTTGATTAATATATGCTTATTGGGTGCAAAGACTTGTAATAAGTTCTTTAAAAAAAAAAAAAGACAAATCTGAGAAGATATTTCTATGCTATTATACTACTGTATGTATTTGTGTCCACATTTATAGTCACTGACATAACTATATTTTGCCAGAACACACACTTTTTTACAGAACAAAACATGTTGCAGTGTTAAAAGGTAGACTCTTCAACATCAGTGTGCCCTCAAAGATATATAGGTGTACAGGGCAACTGTTCTGGCACCTGCTAGTACAGTTGAAACAAAGCCAAATTGCATCTTACAGTACTGTCTTTCTAATTTTTCTTCCCCTTTGAACCAGTAGAATGAGTCTGTGCAAAATGTGTGCCATCTATAGGCCTGCTGTGCAGCAATTATACACTAATATACCCATCTCCCAGCTGAATCTGCAGGAGCTCTGCACCACAAATACCCACTGGATGACCACTGTATTCACTCATGAAAAAAGAAAGAAAAAAGAAACATGCCTTCTAGGTCGACAAAATTTCCAGAGAGGGCTACTGAACATTTCATGAGAAAAATGAATGCATTTCATAGTCCAGTTTTATCTATTTACTAAATGATTCATCTGAATATATAATGTGTGTTTTTTACATTGTAGTGTTTGGCATAACCTCAGTATGAGGCATTAGTACAAAAGCACCCAACAAGGGATGCCCAAGAGCCCTACACAACACAGAGATTCCTTTTTTCCTGGTTCACTGGCTTTCTGCTGAACTGTGGCCACATGTGCCTACTAACACCGTACTGTAAAAGGCAGATGCCATGTAAGTCCAGGCTAAAGGCAAGAGGGTTTATTTTGCCAGGGTTGGAAAAGAACGTTAAGACAGACTGTGATAAAGGGCCTGACTGGAGTATGGTGTATTGTGTGCTCATGTGAGAGAGATGAGTGCTTACCTCTCAGTTTGTACTGTACCACTAACAGTACGCATTGTTAGAGGATCTAAGCACGCTTGCACGGCAGCGAGTATGTGTGTGTTCAGCCCTTTCCCACAGTTCTGTTCTCTTACTAACTGTTCGGCCCCATCCTTGGTTGCTGCTCCGCCCTCTTCCCCATCTCTATGGTGCTGGGCCTTGGCACACCCTCACATTCTCCAGTAACTGAACAACATGGTTGAGGCTGAACAACTGGAGATCCTGACATGAGAACATGCAATGAGGTACACTGCCATAACCAAGAGCTTCAACATCCAGGGTCTGCTACCCGTCAGCTTGAAAGTGATGTTCAGCCCTGAGTGATTGAGATCTGTTGGGTCAGCTAGAGTGGAGCTAACATCCAACACACCTCATAATATACATGTGTATGCAAACAGCTAATGTATCAATAGCTTGTCACAGTAGCCAGAGTCATTCCTCTCTGTTGTAGTGAATGAATAGCCATGGTGATAGTTAGTCAATTAATAAATAATGAATATTAAGTATTGTCAAACAGCCAATACAGGGGTTCCTCAGGACCAACAAACAAGACCACTGAACCAGCTGACTCAGGGGTGTCTCAATGCAGTTCTCATAATCAGGCATGTCCTCAAGGGTCTCCATTTTTTCCTTAACATACTGCATCCTGGACCACTCCTTGGCTGGGATTGTGCCACTAAATTATGATTTGCTCTTTTTTTTTTTTTTTTTGGGAATGATTATTCATTTTTATTATTGGGGTGGGGGAGGGGGCAGTTTTTTGTGGTAGTTGGCTGCCTGGCGTTCGGTGCATCCTTTCTAAACACTGCTGACCTTTTCCAGACATGGACGCATGTCCAAATCAGGTGCAAATACACTGTGATTCATTTATTTGTGTGTGTGTGTGTGTGTGTGTGTGTGTGTGTGTGTGTGTTTGACAACAGTATTATATAGCATCAAGATTATGTACAACTGGGCTACATTTCACCTAGTGGTGCTTATTGTCGTATAACGCTAAGTATTTATGCTTGCATAACTGTGTCATTAAAATAGTGGTAATGACAGTTAATTAAACTGTTTTAATTAAGTCGACAAGAAGTCTATATGTAAAAGTCTGGATCTTTATGAAACATGCAATATATTTTATGGATTTCTAGAACAATCATCATTTTGCAACATTCTGTATCTAGTGAAAATGATTAGCTAGAAGCTCGTTAAAAAGTTGGTTTTAGTTTTTATATATTTTTCTCATTTTCTTTAACTTACACACGGGTTTCAAGAGCTAAGCTACACGAGCATGTAAGTGGAAGCTGCTTTCTATACTGTCCAGTGTAGCATTCAGGATGCCACACTTTATACCATAAACAAGGTCACAGAGAAATTACCTTCAGAGAATTGTTTCTGTCAGGTTATCTGCCCAATGCTACATCCATCAACAACCACAACACACAGCAAGAGCGTTTGAACAGCAAGCTTGTTCTTCTCAGTCCTTGTTGTGCCTTGTTACTTTGGGTGCTTCAATCCAGCCATGGCAGCCAGGTCCGCAAACAACAATGCCAGTGTCTGTCTGTACCCGTTTCATGTGCCAGCACATTCACTAAGATGACGACACCAAACAATATCCTCCCTGTCTGTTTCCGCAAAACCAGTTCAAGCCAAGTTCTCAATTCTGTCAGCTTACACTTCAGTTGACAAAGCTATTTAGTCTCACAGTTTCATCCAAGCTGTTATGTACAGGACTGCACTGTTACCTTGTTACAATGTTACAACTAAACTTCAGTGTGACAGAACCAAGTGACGGATACTGTGCAAAACCTACTAACTGGTTTTTACAAAGATGTAGGAGAAAAAGTAAGGCAATACTGACCATCATCTGTACTTGAACGTAGGGTTCCTCATCATTATTGCATTTGAATAAGCTGAATCACAACATCTCCAGTTGATTCAGTGAGTTACAATAAGTACAATAAGTAACAAATAAGACTGAGCTCAACAGCATTAATTTTGGACTGTATAGTGGATAATCATGACAGGTGCCAGCCACAGTACTGAACGGTGGTCAATAATTGTTTTGTACTTTTGTCTATGCCTTTACATCTTCTTCTGTCTTACAGTGATGAATGATTTGTAGTGCCAAGACGTAAACTTTCTGTGTAGTTTGTCTCGTGTGAACAATACATCCTCTAGCCAAAACAATAATGCCTGCATTTGGAATAAAATATGGAAGAAGTCAATGATGACAAAATGCGAAAACATCAGTTATGTTGCATTTTCTTACACTGGAATGATAAAACAGGCCCAGCTACTGATTCACTTTTGAAAAACCTCATTTCCTGGTTTTCCTACAGACCTCCCCGCATGCCTTTAGGACTCATTGTGAGGCAACCCTCAACATTTAGCATGTAAGTGCTCTGGGCTGCACAACAAACCCACTGATTTCTGCATTAATGTGTAGCAGCAGGCCATTGTAGTAATGTTAGACTTTGTTTAAGTCTGTACCTTTGTGTCATGACCCTGTTTGAGCATTGGAGCAGTATGTCCATATGATAAAATGGTGCATTTTCTTCTTTTGTTCCTTCTTTGGTTTGTTAATAACCTGGTGCTGAATAAATACATTTAAAAAGGTGCTACCACTGTGGACTACAGATTCTGCTTTTTGGCTGTCTGAGAACATGGCCTTCTGGGTTGACTGAGATAGCCTGCACCCCACAAACTTGCAATCTCAAAATGCTCAAGAGTTAGCACCTCAATCCACACAGTTTACAGCTGAACTCAACTTTCAATGGTGCCATTTTGATTTTCCAATCTGCACAGAAAACAACAACTGCTCTTCTGTTAATTCGTTTACTATAATGGTTTTGACATACAGTTAGTTTTTGTTTTACTATGATTCAGCCTGCACTAGGATTTTTTTTTTCCTTTCTTTTCTCTGAAAGAATGAAACTGGCAGATGATGAAATGCATCTTTTTGGCGCACAGGAGCACAAATGTACTTCTGATACTGGAATTTGGATTAAAAAAAAATATAAATATATATATATATATAGAACGTGATTGCTGTGTTGTAAATTCCTGTCATTTATATGTCCTTAAACTGTGTGTATCTATTTTTGTTGTTATTGTAGAATTGGCTGTAGTATTTTGTTTAAAAATGGATTTGATATTCCAATGAAGCGACTATGGTTGTCATTTTAATTGCTGCTGATTTTTGAGATTGTTATCAAAGATGTTGGGAAATATTGTTTTGTTTCTATTCAAACACTTTCTAGATTGTGTTAGCTTGTTGGTGTATTTCACAAATCTATCAGGATACTCCCTAGTTTATATGATTTATCCGGGGTATTCCAAAAGTTGGCACAATGAGAAAGGAAATTCGCTACAGTCTTAACGAAAGTGTACTCATACAGCATACAGTATGTTGTGACTAAGAACCTCTAAGAAATGATTTCTTTGTTGTTGTTAAATATAAAATGTAAGTAAATTGTCTCATGGAATCCCCGTTCTTTAAAAAAGCTAAACTGATGTCCAGTATTGTACCTACACCCTATTTTTGGGAACAATATGAATATTATTAATAACATATGGTGCTAAAGTTCTTTTTGTATGTTTTGGTTTTTAGATGAAAAGAGAAATATTATGCTGAAAATGTAATGTTAAGCCTTACTGTAGATTCATATATCAGACTGTTCATCCCAGAAGAGAAAAATAAATATAGTATTTGAAAGTGCAATTTATCAGTACTGTATTCACATCCACATCTCACATTTTGACAAATGAAAGTGGCAGCAGTATCTGGCCTGCAAGGGTGTAAAATGTCAGGCTGAAAGGAGGAAATGCAACTGAGTCCTTTACTATTCAGATATTAGCTTGTGATTGGTACACCTTTAATTAAACTCAACTTGTTAAAGCTCTGCACACCCATTTATTCTGATTAGACCTCGGGTGGAGTTGTGTTGGAAATTACTGCATGTCACTAAAGTGATGTACCAAGAGATAGCCACAATGATGAGAAATGGCTAATCAGCCAATGTAAATGAGAACAATGTGGCTGGACCATGGCTGTGCAGGGGCTTATTATACACATGCACTAGATCAAATCATTTTGCTAATCATTTCACTAACCACCATTACCATTACATCTGAAGGAATTTCTGTTGCTCATTTGAAAAATGGCAAAAATATAGCTGTAAAAAGGGGGTTGGGCAGCACAGCTGTACCACCTGTATGAAATGACTATAAACACTTGAGAGATAACAAAACATAGAGATACAAGGACCCTACAGACCTAACCACAAGATTACTCAAATTCATAATTTAAACACTGACCCGTCACATAACAGTTCAGACCCAGTAATATGTCCAACAACAATACTAACCAGCTTTATACACAGGTTTAAGACAGGCATAAATAGGACATCAAAGTTAGATATCTCTGATGGACTTACTGTACGAGCACAGGGCTTACCTTTCTTTTGTTGGCACTTGTTGTGAAGCCAGCCCCTTGAGTGACTGGTCTCTTTTCCACTTCTCTTGCTGTTACTATGTGTGTTTGTCTTTCACCACTTGTGTCATCTGCCACTGTCTCTCTGTTGCTGTCTTGAATATGTCTTCACATTCCTGTCCTCATAAAACAAAGGGAGTAAACAGTAACTATAAACAGCATAACTTAAAGTTGTCTCTTGCTCCCCTCACAAATCTTACATGTGAAACATCTAGCCAGTGGTGGAAGAAGTACCCAGTGGAACAGTGTAAAAATACTCTGTTACAAGAAAAGGTCCTGCATTCAAAATGTTACTTAAGTGAAAGTACAAAAATATTAACGTTAAAACATAAAGTACTAAAAGTAAAAGTACCCAATATGCAGAATGACATATTTAACATATTACTGTATTATAATAAGGGACGCATTATTGTGTACATCACATTTAATGTTGCAGCTGGTAAAGGGGGAGCTAGTTTTAACTACCTTATATGATTTTAATTTGAATTACTGCTGGGTAGCTTGTGAATTTTCCACCAGGGATCAATAAAGTCTTATGATTATACTGTTTTTTTATTAATCTGGTTCTGAAAAGTAACTGAATTTATAAATTTAATGTAGCAGAGTAAAAACATTCAATACTTGTCTCTAAAATGTAATGAAGTCAAAGTACAAGAGAATGAAAATATTCAAATACAAATACCTCAAAATTGTACAGTACTTGAGTAAATGTGCTTAGTTATTTTAACCACTACTGCATTGAGCCCCAGTTTTATGAGCCCCGCTGTACTGCAAGTGTTTTTAGACTATTAGAAAATCTCTTTTCAGGGCAAGATATCTAGACTTATCTTAGCAGGCAAGCACTGATGTAACATTAATAACAGTTGTATTTAGGATAAGTGTGCAAGTTCAAAAGCTATAGCTTGGTAATACACAAACATAAAGCATTTCTAATTAGTTGCTTTATAAGAACTTATCGTTTTTAGAAGTGGTTGAGATTTTGACATTTGACAAATTACACATAAACTTCTAGCAAGAACACATCAAAAACAAACAAAGCATTATAAGTAGCAAAGAAACAAAAGACATTTGCAACTAAGATCAGTCACCTATGCAAAAGTCTTGTCTGCATAATTCACAATTACAGCCACAAATGTAAACTGTATTTATGGCTGTAATTCACTCTTTGTCAGTGAACAAACTGGTTATTTTATTATTACCGTTAACAACCTGAAAGGCTGCCTGTCTGGCCTCTCTAATCACCGCTTGGCAGACTGATTCATGCAAGTCAGTAGCAGATGTTTTGGTTTGAGTAAAGCAAAGCATGCTGGACCACAGTTCAACGCCCAAAATGGCAGCACAACTGAAAAGTTTAGCCTATTATGTTCGACTTTGTCTTCTTTATAGACTATTTATTTAGCTGTTTTAGCGGCACTGAAGCGTACTGTTTTCATATTGGTTGGACGCAGGCATTTTCTAATGCTTGCGGAATAAGGCAAACATCACTATGGTGCTTTGATAGCAGCTAAATTCAAAGCATCACTTCACCAATGCTTGGCTAAGCTAAAGTGGGCTAGCAGGCTAACTACCGTCAGATGAGTGTTATCTCCATGCTAAACTGAATATGAAGAAGAGTACCCTTCCATAGAAATGGAGGATGATGTGAAAAAAGTGAAAAAGGTAAGTCGAGCATTTTACGTACTTAATTAGTTAACCTCAAGTTGACTGGTTAGCATGCTAACTTACTAGCTATCCAGACAAGTTAGCTCAGAGCTTAGCCAGTTAAGTTTAGCCATAAAAAGTAAAGTAACGTTTAGCATCAGTTCGCGGACAGGAGCAAAACGCTCATAACACACAGACTGACAGATGTAATGCCCTTTCTGTCAACCGGTCTCACTTAAGATCGGGAAAACGAGTAACTTACCAAATGGGTATGAACGCCAAGTAAAAAAAAAAAAAAAAAAGAGGCACAACAGATTATTCCTGAAAGACCAAGAGAGTGTGAGTTAATAGTCTCAGTTGAGGATTGCCATTAAGTTAGGGGTTTCATGTATTGTCCATAGCTCTACTATATCAACTTTAGCCAACACTCGTTGCTTTGTTCGCTTTAGTACTCCTTAAAATGTGTTTAGATGTAGTAGGTTTCGTTGTGGTATAACGTTATGTACTTCAAAGGAAATGAATACTGTTGTATTAATTAAGCTAATGTATTATCGTCGAGGAGTTTTTAACGGTGAAGGCGAGGCTAGTACAGGTGTTATGTAGAGATGCGTTTCACCTACACTGAACTCTTAACCTTATCCTGACCTAACCATAACCACCGAGGGGGGGCGCTACTACAAACATGGCTTTAACACATCTCGACAAGGGGACAGGTTTCGGCAATAAAAGCACAACCGGGTTTCTCAGTAAGCAAACAGATTAAGTGCAGGTACCACCAGCTGTCAAAGGCAGCAGTTATCAGTGTCAGTCATGTCAACCATCCAGCCCCTTCCGACACATAACAGTACACAATGCTACCTAATGATCCCGTTTGGATATGAATACAGATGTTTATGTTGAGACACGTAGCTGACATTTGTGGTGGAAATATGCCTTTATTTTTTCCCTATTGTAATGTTATCCTGTTAAAGACATTTCCCTCTGTTCTTGTTGTTGACTAGTATAAAGCTGAATGACAGGACCCAGTGAAAGCAGCACATGACAAGCTCACAACCTGAGCATATGATTGTTCGCTTTCATTATTTTTCCATGGCAAAGACACTAGTGTTACTTCCCATCAAATTCCACCTACGTTTGGTGGGAAGGGAAATTTGGATTGAAACATAGACTAGTGTGAAGGAGGTTTGTTGTGGCAAGGAAGCGTTTTTCCAGGAGTGTTAAACCTAATGTGGATACTTAGTTTGATAAGACATAGCCCTATTTGTGACAGGAAATAATTGGTAAAAGATGCACTTAAATACTTGGCATGGAAAGCCCAATATCCTCAGGTGAAAATAATTCAATTTCCATTTAATCTCAATACTAATTTTTTTTTTAACCTATAAGAATCAGTGTCACCAATGCATACAGTTCTTGTCTATGCCAGTTGGTGGTGATATTGAATAGTAATTGGCTTTATTATTTATTATATTTATTTAATGGAGATTTGTATTATTACACAGATTCATGCTCAAACCCCTTTCTTATGCTAACATGTTCATAAAGGCATCCTACTTGTCAGGGAATTTCTGGTATAGCATGAAATTTAGACAAAGATACTGTATCTGGAGGTGGTAAGGAATTTTGCAGCTGAATTACCTCACAGGAGCAGAGCAGCGGGAAGGTGGTCATCACTCACACATACAGTGTTTTGGCTTGCTTTTAGCCCAGCCGGAGTGGTGATCTCTTACAAACACTAATTAAAAAAATGAAGAACTTCATGTAGTGGAAGTGCTGCAGTTTACCTCTGGAAAGGCAGGAAGTGATTATAGGATTTCACCTTAGGGCCACTGTGGAAAAGTAGACAAATAGACTGTATGAAAATTAAAATATTGCATTTTTATTGGTTCTCTGTAGTTCATTCATGATCAAGAGATGGTGATTAATAATAATCACCTTTATTTGGCCAAGTATGTTACACACACACAAGGAATTTGTTTCCGGTACAGAACTGAGGCAGCCATCTGCGGCACCAACTCACACCAGTGGCTCTAACCATCGGGGGCAACTTATGGGTTCAGTGTCTTGCCCAAGGACATTTTGATATGTGGACTGCAGGCACCATGATTCAAACCTCCAAAGCTCCGGTTGGGAGACAACCACTCTATCCACTGAACCACAGTCACCCCCATTAATTTGTAGGAATGGATTGTTAGTCTCATATCATGCTGTTTTTCCCTGAATATGGTTAAGCTTTTTAGAGGATCACGGAAAGTGCTGTATGGTAGGCTAGTGGTTAAGGTGCAGCGCACTTGCCCCTGCGGCCCAGGTTAAAGTCAGGGTTGCGCCAGGATGGGCATCCGGCGTAAAACACTTGCCAAATGTCAACATGCAAGTCACTATGGCGACCCCTAAACGGGAGAAAGCCAAAAGGGACTTTCTTTATTACTATTATTACAGCTTCCTGTGTTTGATTTCCTGCATTCTTCTTAAGTGTGAGAAAGCTTGAAAGTCTGCCTGTAGTTGTTGTCACCCTGGCCATTATAGCACAAAGAAGCCATATCTTCAGCTGTGTTTTCATTTTTTGGTGAAACAAGAGTTCTACCAAAGATGCTGTGTGTGAGACCTAAAGTTTGTGATCATAAGTCACCAGATGCAATGAGCCAAACAAATGGGTACAGTGTAAAAAAACAAGAATTAATAGAGCTTGAAAAAAATTCAAATACAGATCAAATAAGTTTGTCTGAAAAAAGAAACAAGTCCTCAGGAGGGAAATAAGGTTTTCTAAGGTGTCACATGTGACATGTGGTTAGCTCTGTAGCTTACACACAGCGTCACATGTGGTTAGCTCTGTAGCTTACACAGTGAAGCATGGAGTTGCAAAGCCCTGAGTGAATGAAGGAAGAAAGGAAGTAAGTAATGTTTCACATAGTAAAATCTGAACATGATTAGCATCACACAGTCTTTTTTTCCACCACCTGTGAATACGTTTTCAACATGAGAAGACTTTTGCTGTCTCTAATTGTTTCATTAGTCGAAGCCTGTACTGCATGCGAGTGTCATCACAGGAAGTTGTGGCTGGTCCATTTCCTGTTCTTGTGTCTGCGTATAGAGACGGATACACTTGCCTTCCTTTCGGGGGAGGTCACACCCCTCACATACACATTCAGACTGCATTTGATCTTGTGTGTGTCTCATCCATTGGCAGCTGTCACTTTATGGGAACGGAGGCAACAGGTGATTAGACAGTGAAAGCTTAGCAGCTTCGGCGGCCAGGCTGTGTGTAAGCTTTTGAGTAGGTGACTCCTTTAGCGTGTGGGTTCATGGAGAATGAGGTAGGCTTGTTAAAATGCTTTCAGTCTATTAACTATTTTTGTGCATCCATATCATGGACAAAAGTTTATCAAGGTTATTTTAAGGTAAACTCTGCTCGTAAACTGCGCTACACTGTCGACATATTCCCGACTGACACAAGCTTAAAAAACATATAATTCGATGTTTTTCTAAGAGCCATATGCAAACATAGCAATGAACAGCTTCTAAAGTAAATACTGAAACATGTTTTTTCACATTTGTTGCAGCTGTTTGTTGATGTTTTGAGGTTGGTGTTCATGATTTACATTTTGTGCCCTATTGTATTGGCCTTGTGTGTTTTGAAAGGCACTCTATAAATAAAATGTATTATTATTACATTTAAACGTGATTTTTCCCACGTTTTAACGCTGACTTGCAACTGCGAAAACGCCTCTATTATTGCAAAATGTGGAGTTTCCTTTTAGACGTGCTGTTTTTGACATTTGAGCTGCATGTATTGGGTAACACAAAGGGATGTACATTTGCACTCTCATAGTCCATCTGCTGTATCTTACTCTACAGTGATCGGCTCAGTCAGAGGAAGCAGGGTCAGTAGAAATTAGAAGGCGTGCAAAGCACAGCCAACATAAGTTTTAGGGTTTTTTTTCTTAGTCTTTTAACTTGTAGCTGCATTTGTAAGTGTTGCCAGCCCATTGCAACCACATCATAAGTCTGGTGAGGATATAAATATTCTTGTAGTGATTAATAATATGCTGTAGCACAGACAGAGACTGCTGATGGATTATAATTACGATATGCTGCATGATGTGCTACATATCCACACAAACTGGGTATCTTTTCTCAATCTATTTGGAAGGCATCCTAACAACAACAGCACAGACTGCTGCAGTTAGATTAGCATACAGACAAAGACCTTCTAATATCCCCATGCTCTCTTTGTCTTTATTCACTAGCCTGGTATCGTGTCCCCGTTCAAGCGAGTCTTCCTGAAAGGAGAGAAGGGGAGGGACAAGAAGGCCCAAGAGAAGGCCACCGAGCGCAGGGCCCTCCACACCTTCTCACTCTCTCAGCCCGACCACCGCATCGATCCTGACATCCTGCTTAATGACTACATTGAGAAGGAAGTCAAAGTGAGTGTGACAAACAGGCATATACTGAAAACATTGTAGTACTTTTCATTGAGAAAATCAAAGGGATATGTTTTGTTCTCTAGGGTATCATAAAAATTTTTTATTTTTTATTTTTTAACTTGGATTTTTCTTCAGCTCTTTATGCATTTTCTGTCCTGTCCAGTACTTGGGGCAGCTGACATCAGTTCCAGGATACTTGAACCCATCAAGTAGGACAGAGGTCCTGCAGCTCATTGACAATGCAAGAGTAAGTCTCTGAGGAGGATTTAACCTGATCCTTCATTTGGATGCTCTCTCTCTAGTTGGAACATAAATTTTACATTACTGACATTTAAATAAATAAAGAATATTGCTGGTCAATCATTTAAGGCTTGTACTTATTTATTGGGAGTAAATAGCCTTATTTATTTGTACCTTTGTGTTTTTCAGAAGTCCCATCAGCTGGCAGGCCAGCTGACATCAGAGCAGGATGCTGTGGTGAGCTTGTCAGCATACAACATAAAGCTCGTGTGGCGTGATAGAGAGGACATCATCCTGAGAGTGCCCATACACGACATTGCTGCTGTGTCCTACATCAGGGATGACTCGTTGCACCTGGTGGTGATCAAAACAGGTTGAGAACACACACTAGTTCCTGCAAGAGTTGAGATGAAATGAAACAGAAAAATTTGTCAGACTGTTGAAAGTTGTAAGATCACAGAATCTTGAGAATACACAGAGGAAGTGATTTGTTCAGGAGGAGCATCACACAGTGATCATATGTACTTGACTTAGTAAAATGATCAAGTCCCTCAGTTTCTTTGTTTGGTAATGTCCGTATTCTGATCAAGTCAAGTCCAATGCTTAACTGACATCTGTGTGCGAGAGGAACTAGCAATAAGGTGAGGTGATATTAAAATGATGTGGTCCAATAATGAAGAAGTGTTTTGGGTTCAGATATTTCGAACATGTTCAAAGTTGTGTCTGCTAAGTTGGTAACAACTCAACATTTGACAAATCAAATGTGACTATGTATTTTATGTGCTTTTCAGCCCAGGAGTCCGGAGGATCTCCCTGTCCCAGCTCATGCCCAGATCTTAACAAATCTCAGACCCTCAGCTCCCTGTCAGAGAGCGGAGCTGTGCTTGTAGAAGTCTGCTGTCTGCTGGTGCTCGCCGTTGAAAATAAGGTATTGTTGTGCATCTGCAGCTGTGTTTACAACATCCATTTTTGAAGTGGTAAAATGGAAATTGGCAGAGCTCATCTCTTTAGCTGACTTAGTTACACAGTTGAGAACAGTGCCTTTCAAACTAAGGTGCACACCAAATTAACTCACTGAGACTTTTTATTTGGTCGTCTTTTAGGCTGCTGCAGAGGAGCTTTGTCTTTTGCTCAGCCAGGTCTTTCAGATTGTTTATACAGAATCAACCATCGACTTCTTGGACAGAGCCATTTTTGATGGAGCAACTACACCTACAAGACACCATTCGCTATACAGTGGTAAGGAGAGGAACAGATCAGTGGTCCAGACAAAAAAAGCATCTGAAATAAATTTCACCGATTATTGGCAATATTTTTAAGTAACAGATAGTAACAGGTGTGATTTGGTGCAGTGTAATGCAGCTTTACTCTGTGAACGTATATTATATTATGTACATTAAATTCAGAGGTGCTACATACATGACCCTCTTGTGTATGTAGCTGGGAAGGACAAAATATAGAAACATCTCTGAATATAGCGTAATCCACTACAACACCACCTTTAACTATGACCTCAATACTAAACATATAATTGAATTTATACATTTATGACCATTTCACCAAAAACAACCTTTTTGAGCTTCATAAACACAGATGTTAAGGTGGAAGTGTTGCACTGAATTGCATACAATTATACAGGTGTACCTAATGAAGTGGCCGATTATATACCTTATTATTTTTGCAGATGACTCCTCAAGTAAAGTTGATGTTAAGGAGGCCTTCGAAGCGGAAGCCAGCACATTGTAAGGACACAGCTGAAGAGTGATTATAGTGGTTAAGAAAGATTTTGATACATCTGAAAGTTGTTTACTTTGGTATGTCACTTACAAGGGATGCGTTTTTCCTCAGTCCTTTCCAGGGTTCGATAGAGGCAGAAGGAAACTCTCCAACAGCTTCCACCCCAGCATCACCTCAGATGAAGACAGCGAGTGAAGGAGAGCTCAGTACCACTGCTGCAGAGCTGCTGCAGGACTACATGACCACAGTATGACATTTTACCTTCTCTTTCTTGGCCCCTTTCTGTTTTTGAGAATGAGACATTTTTTTCAAGCTCTATTAATTCTTGTTTTAAGTTTTCAGCATCTCTTTCTTCCTCTTCCAGCTTCGGACAAAACTGTCATCACAGGAGATCCAGCAGTTTGCTACCCTGCTCCATGAATATCGGAACGGTGCCTCCATCCATGAGTTCTGCATAAACCTGCGACAGCTCTACGGGGACAGCAGGAAGTTCCTTCTACTTGGTACAGCCACTGGAGTTATGCTAGCATGACATAATCGGTCTGAGTGGAAAGAAATCACAGATTTTATCTTAACATAACCAGATATAAGGAAGTGCTGGCTAACTGAGTACCTGTTGCCAGTGGAAACTGTTTTCCTTGTATAAACACAAGTTTTTCTGACTTAAAATACTGAACTGGTTGGTACAGTATTATATTGCATTGGTATTTTTGCTGTCGATTTTAACGTTCAGTCACACTAGCATGTGTGAAGTAACACTAAGCTTCTCCAAAAATCTATTAAAATGCTGTTGTGGTTGTCTTATGAATACATAGCAGGAAATCACATCATCACAGTCTTGTTTTGTGGTAATGGCAGTAAAGCTGCATATCAAGATCACTTCCACATTTGAAGCTACAGCAGTTTCAGACCCGTCTGCATCTCTCCACATGTGAGACATGCATTTCTTCACCCACCTGAGTTATGTTATATTACAGTATGTTTAACACAAGTATATTTGCCATAAAATATAGACTAAAAAGACATGCAGACAAAGATCACATGCATTACACTTCAAAACACACCTGTGTCCTGGTAACAAATACTAATGTTTACTTAAGTGCTTACAGCTTTTTCCTTGCCCCCTTACAGGCTTGCGTCCCTTCATACCAGAGAAGGACAGCCAGCACTTTGAGAATTTTCTCGAGACCATTGGTGTCAAAGACGGTCGAGGAATCATCACAGACAGCTTTGGCCGCTATCGGCGTACAGCCAGCTGTGCCTCTGATTCCACCACCAACGGCAATGGAGCAGCAGGTGGAAGTGGCGACAGCACGGCCTCAGACGAGGGCCAGGAGGCCTCTGAAGGAGACGAATGGGACCGTATGATAACCAATATCAGTAATGACATTGAAGCTCTTGGCTGCAGTATGGACCAGGAGGGAGTGATGCCCTGATATGGTGAACAAAGCTTTTATTTTTTTGTTGTTTTTTTTGCAAGAGCTGACAGCCAAATGAACAGAAGGCATGAGCTAAATGGATCAGATGAAGGTGGTCTTTGGCACTGACCCTAAGATTTAGTTAATAGTATTTTCCTCTAATTGTCAAGAGGATGCTTCATAGTCCTCATGCACTCAAAGAAAATCTCAACCTAGTACCATAAAAACATGAAGTCAGCATTTGCACTTACTGTATGGGTGACATGCAGTTAGTTGGCTAGTTTGCATTCAGAGGGATTTATAGCCTCTGATATATTTTTAACATTTCTTTGATTTTGTACTCATTATTGGCAGTATCTGCCACTGGTGTCAGCAATGTAGCAAAAAATCTCCAGTCTTTGAGAACATTTCTGTTTTGAACAGCCTTAAAGACTATAATCCACCAGAGGACCGTACATGTTTTAGAAGGTTCAATCTGAGGCTGTGCTGGTTTGTGTTTTGTATTATTTTAGGTCAGTCAGCTTCATCCACCAGAAGTTTGGATTTCCCCATTTATTTCCCGCTTGTCCTGAGAGTGTAACATTTTGCTATATATTTTATTTTTCAGTATGATTTGTGTACCACTTCTGATTTCTTATCAGTGTTTACTCATCTGTATAATTTTGCCTTATTCAAACTGACCAACAAGATGCTGTAAAAACATTCTCATTCAAGAAATTGAGTGGGGACTGTATCTGACAAAGCCAGTTCGTTTATGGCTGATGTAAGTTGATTTTAGCTATTTGTACTTTTCATGCAGGTCATCTTATTATGTTTTATATTTATGTTTATACATACTGCAGTACTGCTGCCAGCTGTCTGTCAGACCCAGACAGGTAATTACAAACTGTAACTACAGTTGTTGAGCAAATCATAGTTATTAAATAACAGCTACATTACACTGTTTGCCTGTTGGTGTTAACAAAAGTATCACATCTAATGAAATTACACGGTTATTATTCTTTTCACCGGTCTGCTGCATTGTCATTGGTTAGAAGTGAGACTAACATTCTCATTTAATTTGACTTTTGTACAGCAGGACTGACAGAAGGCATGGGGGTTTTGTAATCTGATTATGATCCTCTTTGACTGATCATTTGCTTGACTGCACTTAAGCTGCTGAGGAACTTCAGTCTGGGTTTCACCAAAGCAGCCATGCTGGATGTTACTAAATAAGCCTCAAAGTTGAGGATTAGTCCCGTGAGTCTAAGGAATGAGAAATTGGCAAGACGGCTTGAGTTGAGCAGATTCCATCATGTGAAACCAGTCACAAGGCTTTAAACGAATCTCCTTACCTTTAGGGTAAGTTGAAATGAACAAAACAGACTGCAGTCAAATGAAGTTTCTCCTTTGTGTGGGTTATCTCATGTTTGCTGTGGGACTGGAGCAGAGCTACAGGAGTGTGTGCACCGACTGGAACGCTACACCTGCGCTCAAATAGCCGCTTTGGCTTGAGACACTGTCTACCTCAAACAAAAGGAGAGATACACAAGAAGCCTATGGTCTCACTGAGTAGATAAAGATTTTTGTCTCATTTCTGGCATGCTGTTGGTGTAACTGAACTGTCAGCCTATTCACACTACTGGGAGGAGGCCTAAGTGGCCTCCTGTAAATTCTCATCTTAATCCAATTTTAGACCAAATGGAATGGCTCATTAAAGTACCTCATTTTTGAAGCATGTAATTATTAAATAGATCAATAGATCAGTTGGTTTAATTAAGTCATTAAAAGATCCCATGCTATTTCATAAAGAGTTTGCCAATTATCTTTACAACAATGACTGGAGCCCCTGTAGTGTAGTGATTTTATCACCTTGCATGACTGTACCTCATAAGGAAGAATTGGGGGGTGGGGTTCTGTGTAATGATCACTGTAGTCTGCAATTAAAGATTTTAGTCTTCAGGAAATCTTAGAATAGTGTCACTAGATATACTGGATAGGTGACTCCAAATGGATTTATTAGAGACTGAAGAAAAAGATTTGTGATACATTTTTTATCTTTGGGTGAGCGTCACATGTTTTACTCCATTAGTGAACTTTAAAGCTGCTTTAATCAGCATTTACAATATAAACAATGGACCATGTGACTACTTGTATGTTAAAGGAGTAATATTTAGTGGTGAACTACTGTTTTTTTTAGCTTCTTTGCAGTTGTAATCCATCTTATTCTACAAAAAAACTATGCTCACTAAAATACTACTTGCTAAATCAAATATGCATTATAAAACTTGTATCAATATTAACACATGGCTTAAAAGCACAAAGCATTTAGATGCAGATCCAGGACATAGAAACTATTCCTGACTACCACTGCCAATCCAGAGGGCTGTATGCAGAAATAATACTGTAGTTCACCCATGCTTGATTAATTTTGTAACCACACAAATCCCAGCAGTATATGGAAAAACACAGTAACTGTAAACAAAATAAGTAATAAGGCTTCATAAGTGGACAGGAATAAGCTTGAGACTCTTTAAGTTTAAAAGTGCAAGTATTCTGCTTCAAATCATGATGGCCTAAAGGTCTACAGAGAGGTTGATGTATATAAAGTAGCTGCTATTTGTTGTTTAGTGGCAAAAACATTACATGAGTATGTCCTTAAGTAAAACTATTGCTAAATAATATAGTTATATTGGTTTGTTGCACTGGAGCAAAGACAGTATTAGACAAGTTTGCCTGAAGTGTGGTCACAGCCACTAGCAGAGCGAGAAACGGCGAGAGTTAATGTTCATCTTGGTGACGCCAATGAGTCTCAGTGGGGCCGAGAGGCCAAGGCCTGGGGTCACCGGGCATTCACACAGCAGGTCGGACAGCTCGTCCCGCTCCTCAAGGCCGAATGTGGCGTCAATGAGCATCCAGCGATGCAGGTGACACGTCTGCTCAACCTTCAGTTTGTGGATGTCGCTCCGGAGCCGCATGAGCTGCCTTGCCAGCTGTTGGTCCTGCAAGCGCATGTCCGTCTATAAAAAAAAAAAAAGATGGAATCAGAACAGTTGTGCTCAATCTATCTATTTATTAATTATTAGGTCAATTCATCAATTAAAATACTGAGAATTGAATTTTGTAGTCAAGTAAAAATACCACTCAAAAAGCATTGCTATTCTTTTGGTGGCTTTTATAGATATGATTCAAACAGCAGACTGTACATAGTTCACATGATTTAGAATCGCTGCAGGCCTTCGCATTCAGTCCTTATTGTGCAACAAAATCTAAAAAGTAAACTCACAGTGGGACATCCTTTAACAAGTCTCTGGGCATTATCTCTTTCAGATCCACAGCAAACATTTAAAGATCACAAGCACCTCTCTTGTTCACTGGCTTTGTGTGTGTGTTGCTAAATTGTAATTAGCTAATTAACAGGAAGATACCTCAATTTACTCTCTGGCATTTAACTGAAAAATAATTAAGCTCTTTTCTCTTGTTCTACAAAATGTGAAACAACATGTGGTTGAATCTCAAGTGTCCAACAATATTTTCTAATAGACAATAAAAACAAATATGCAAGAAAATCAGAATCTCACCAGTTCTCGCCTGAGCCAGCTGAGAGCTTCATCAATGTTTCCAAATCCCTTCAGTACACCTGACGACAACTTGCATGGAATAATTTCAGAGCTCACTACAGTGTCTTTGGGTGGAACTAGTTTCCTTTCAGACTCCACTTGGATTGGGCTGTTTCCAGTTCCTGACTCTCTGAAGCTTTCTGCCTCCAATCGGGCTTTCCATTCCAGATAAGAAGGTCTCCTGGTCTCCAATCTTAATTTCTCTGCCAAGGCCTTCAAGTTCATGAGATGGTCATCTGTGGGCACATCTTCCTTAGTGTCTGTTTCTACCGGGACACCAACCCTGTCCACTATGATTTGAGGTGGTGAGGGTGCATCCATCATAAATCTGCTAAATGCAAAAAGCTCCTCAAAAATGTGTCAGAATACAGGATAAAGATGTTTGCCCTTCATTGGTGAATTCTCTACCATAGCTGTGCCTTTTTGTCCTTCCTGCTTCTACTTTCTCTGCTATTTGCCAGGAACGTTGATCATCAAAAGATCCACTGGTGCTCTGGTGGCAGACAGCCTTTACAGCTGCAGAGGCGAGGTGTGAAAACATTTGCCGACAGTACCGCTGACAACCATCTGCAAATGATAAGAGACAAAACTGACATGGTATCTGACAAAAACAAAAAATCTCAACATTGGCTTGACAGACTCAGTTGTATAATGGGCCACTGTAGATCATAGCCTTTCTCAGAAAGACTGAATGATGATCGTACCTAAAACGTGTGCACTTTCTCCTTAATCCTGGTGCATTTGGCTTTTGCATATCAAATAAACGATCAGCACACCGAGGGAACACACCTCCAGGATTTTCCATTTAACAGGAACAAATTGTTTCCATAGCAACAACATGGGCACTATAAATAAATCTGCAACTTTTCCACCTCCAGTCTTCAGGGCTTATTGCCTGAACCAACCTGAAGTGACAGATGATGAGCACTGGGGCACAGTGGTCCTTAATCTTGCTTTTTTAAAATTATTATTATTTTGCTAAAAACATATGTAGCACTGATTTATTTTTCATAATTACTTGAATGGGTCCTGAAAATCATGTGTATATTTAAGTTTTCCAACAAAGCACATTTTATCTTCTAACAAGTCTACAGCTATGCTAATGGCACCAAGGCTATATTTATGCACAGAGTAATAACTCAGTGCAATACTAGTAAATATACATTGTACAGATTATACAGATTCGTATAAGTACTCCATTTTTATTCTATTTTTATCTTGTCTCCCAATGAACATTCCTTTGTCTGACTGCATTGTTTACTGCCTGTTTATACTGTTTATTTTGTTATACTACACAGCCTTATGCTGGTATATTGTTTATTTGCCCCTTGCATGGGGATATGTACGTGCACAGAGAGCCGCTGTACCAGAGTCATATTCCTCGTGTGTCCGACACGCCTGGCAAATAAAGCTGATTCGGATTCTCAGTGTTTTTGTCCTAAACGCTAACATCAGCATGTTAACATACTCACAACAACAATGTTAACATGCTGATGTTTAGCAGCTGTAATGCTTAGTGTACTAACATTTACTAATTAGTACTGAACACAAACTGGCAGGAATGGCATTAGTTTCACAATGATAATCGTAAAACAAAGAATGGTAGCTACAAATTGAAGTTACCAACATGCTTAAACCCACAAATGTCAACCACATGGTTACAAGACTTTGCATTTTTAAGGCAACCTGTATTTTTTTTTCTTCATGGTACATCTATGCACAATTAAATGTACACCACAAACTTGTGGCATCCAAATCTAAATGTCAGTCTGGCTGTATATGCCAAGTCTGGAGGCCCACAGGAAATAAACTAAATGTTTAATGCAGCCAACAGTGGCAGCAAAAGCAGACTTTCTGCCCAGTGTCCTCTTACAAAGTCTTTACGCACTCAATAAGTGGTTAGGGCTGTTATTCCATAATGGACACAACAGACCAGCAGTGAATTCACTGCCCTTGTGCAGTATCCAATGATAGGCTTGGCTGTTTTGCAAGGTAAAATAGATGTCTGACTGTGAAGAGTAGCTCACTTATAAATGCCTCAGAATGGATCCTCTCCTTATTCTCTACAGAAATCAGTCTCTGGGGACCACACTCACACAGGGGACCAATAAAGCAAGAGGAAATTCCATGCCACATGCATTTTTAAAGACAATGTATATACAGTAAGGATGCAATTGAAAATATGTGAAGAAACTGCAGTGCTAAAAGGTTTAGAAAGGTGGGGGAAAGTGTGCACGCAAATATTAAATAACAAGCTGTGGTCACAATTAGAAAGAAGCAAAGGAGTTAAAATCATAATAGCAGAAACCTTATACTAGCCTTTTGTTGGTTGTTTGGAGACACTCTTGGTGAACCCAATCATTTTTGAATAAACCAGCAAATAATCTTTGTCTTATGGAACCCAGCATTTACATCCTGAATATCAGATGCAGCCTGGGCTAATTAAAAACTCAGGCAAGATGGAACTCCATTTATCCCCATTATCCAAATGCTCTAACTGGCATCCAAATCAGCATCACCCATATATTCCCCTGGCTGCAGAATTTGATTGCTCAGCAACATCCAGTTGCAGTGTTGCAACCCCAATAAAATGTATTTGGTGGTGTCAGACTATGAGATGCCTAAACCTCATCTGGCTAAAGAAATTAGGAAGTCTGGCTCTCCTGTTTGGAAAATGCAGCCATGTCTACATAACAAATGTAACTGCAGAGTACTAATCAGGTTTTAGTGTATATCTGGCCAATCTATAACTTAACTCTGAGTCATTCCCATTCAGAGGTGCTGAATTTCAATCTGTAGTGTTCTTATACAGTACATGAGAACATTACCCACAGGGATAACTCAAAGAGATGCCCTAACATAGGGACTTTCATAAAGTTATTATGGCATTTGTTGGGACATCAGAAACTTATTTAAACCATGTGTAATTCAAAATATGCCACAACAACGGATTAATCACAAATTGGTTTCAGTATCAAGTGGTGTTCTTTATAGCTGCATCAGAAAAGGAGCGATGACAGGCTTAAATGGCAAAACAAATATAATTCACTGATTTTTAAGCAAATCATAAGGCGCTAAAGTTGAACAGCCTTTATTACTATGATCCATACCTGAAATCGGGTTGCTGTCATGCATAAGGCACACACTGTAAATGATTAAGTCAATATTCTATAAGTTTTTTTGTAAACTTTTACACGTTTGGCTACTGAACAACACAAACCATCGCTATGTAAATTAACACAATCTACTGTACTGACTTATTGCCATCTTTGTGTCCAATTCAATAACTGACTTCACATTATTTTAGTCGGAATATAAATGATGTTGACGTTTCAAGTTTCGAACCAACTTTTTTCTCCCATTTGTATGAGGAATTATTTATGTAACGTTAGCCCTGTAGGTTTTCTCTCAGCATAAATGCGACAATGTTTGATATTTTCCGAAGAAACCATTTAACATTTCTCTGAGAAATATGCCACAGTAGAATGTAAATTGTACGTAGGCTACTTAAACTGTTTGCCCACATATTCTACGATGCCAGCGTCCTCTGATACAGCCCTGCAAGGTGAGACGCACCCTCTGAAATGCACAAACACAAACTGCGTATTACCTCCAGGTACCTTGTAAGAATTTCCCAGCAGAGCTCCAACTAGTCAGCCGCATCAGCGAAGGGAATCGCTACCAGCCCGCTCCTTCTCTCACACTGTCCGCTCTACTGCTCCACGGTCCGCTTGTTTCTGAGCACCGCTACCGGAGGAGGGGCGGAGAGGGCTGCGTCAGATTCCTGTTGCTCGGAGACATCCCAGGAATCCCTGTCCGACTTCCCGCTACATGAATATCAGTGCAAGTGCGCCACAGTACGGTTACCAGGCTACAGCTTGTTTATTTCGGTTATTTTCATTCACAAAATACACGGATACGCCTTCTAACTTCAGGCTACAAGTGAACAAAATACAAAATATTTTAGAAAAAAAATATCAAAACCCGAAAATTACCCAATTTTCACTGTTACATATCTCACCTTACAAAAACAACTAAAATGTGAAGGCATAAATACCAGTTTCCACAAAACCGTGTCAAAAATGTGACAACCTACCTGTAAGAGCATATATTCAATTTACAGCTTACTGAGTCAATGTTGTCAGAGCTGCTATAAGAATCTAAAGTTTCTTTCATTATAAATACAACTGAATAAATAGAAATAAACAGCATTTTGTCTACTGGTTGTTTGTTTTAGTGCTGATTGTCTGCATGAGTATAGAAATGTCATCACAGGTCACATATCAGTGCAGGGGCCAAAGGTCCTGGAACATGCCAGGAATTACAGGGCCACAAATAACCTGGTGTTGCCTATTTCATACTATACTAGATCCATTTTAATATTCTAAACAATATCTATACTACCTTTCATAACCTGTTTTATGGAATTGCCAGACTGCACTAAGTGTACACATAATATGATTGTCATATCACTAAGCAGTACATTGTGGCATGGAAAAGATTTAAAGACTATTATCTCCAACATTTATGAAAAAAAAAAGTTCACATATACAAAAATAGGATTCCTAACCAACCAACAATAACTGTAACCTCTAACTATTACTCCTTCATAATATGGCAACATGCTTAAAGGTGAAATGCAAACAAATGTGACTGTGTTTACTGGACAAAGTCTAGGTTGGGGTGGAAATCCTGTGTGTTGTGTCAAATAAATTCCCACTCAAGATTCTGCCGCAAAAACTAGAACACAACCACAGACACGTGTCTTCAAATTTAAAAAGTGCAACAAGCATTAAAACAAAAAAGGATCAAAAATTCCTGTATAAGTTTTTGAAACGTGTTATCTGACTTACTATGAATATAGTCATATAGTCTTTTAAACAATTTACAGAAAGATTTTTTTTCTGCCTCTGTTCTCTTGAGAAAGTCGACTTCTTTTATTGCTCAGATTTGTATTTGTATTTGGAAATCACCTCATGGCATCTCATTTTGACTGCGTGTTTGCTTGCTATGACACTGACTACCTATTTTCATAATGCCAGTTCCTCTAGGTCATCATCAAATGAGGTGATGGCTCGGATGGCAGGTCTGCTATCTGCTACATGTAGGGTGCTTAAAGAGGAGGCTGGAGGAGTGAAAGACCCTGAATTGAAGCCTGTCAGTCCATCCCTTCTTGAGCGTACTCCATTGGTAGCTGGAGGACTGCTGAGTACCTCCCTTTTATTGGAGGTGCTCACATTGTCACCAGCAGGCACTGTCAGGGCTCCAAATAGCTGCTGCATGAGGCTAGACTTCTGGTTCTTGTCTGCATCCTTTCCTTTCTCCTTTTCCTTCTCTGTCTCCACTCCTCTGAGGCTAAAAACACCTATTGTTTCTAAAGCAGACTCCCTGTCGTCTTTGGACGGAGGTGGAGGGAAACCTGAAGACCCCCGGTAAGCTGAATGTCCAAAAGAGGGTGCGTAGCTTCCAAATGCCAAGTCATCACTAGAGATTTGGGTATGTAGTGCTCTCCTTCCTATTCCAGTTGTAACAGCCCCACCATCTACGCCTGGTCTTCTCCTTCCGCCTTCCTGGCTTCCAGCAGCAGCATGCAAACTGGCTGACTCCTCTGATTCTGTGAGGCTGAAAATCGAAACCTTATGGCTCCTCTGCTCAGGAGGACGTGAAGAAGAATGGTCACTGATACCTTTTCCGGACTCAGGAGGACTCGACTCAGCACGCATGGAGTCCTGGGCTCCCTGGTTTTTACAATCTATTTCTAGCATCTTAGCAAGCAGCTGATCTTTTTTGCGGCGTGCTTCCTCTGCTGCTTGCTGACTGGCCAGAGCCTCCTGGTTCCACCTCTCCACCTCCTCCTGGATATGATCATGCTTCTTGCTCTTTGCTTCATCTTTGAGCACATTCAGCTCCTGGTTGAGTTGCTGTTTCTCCTCCTTCTCCTGCTCATTCTTCTTTGCCAGCAGCTGCTTCTCTGTGTCTCTTTTTTCTCTGTCTCTCATCTTCTGCTGTTCCCACTTTTGAAGCCTGTCTTCTGTTTCTGCCTGTCTGTCCACTCTGTCAAGCTCCTGGTGACAGAAAATGAGAGAGAAACAGATACAGGAAGTGAATGACAGACAAATAACAGCGACAGACAGTGCACTAAACCTGAAGATGAAATGTGGATTGAGGGAAAGACATTTTACCTTGAGTGATAGGTATTCGTCAGGTGGCCGTTCACTGTACTCACTGGTAGCAGTGATAGCAGGGGGAGGTGTGGGAAAGTCCAGATTAGACATCCTGTCTTCAGTCTGCACTGCCTTGGTGCTGTTCCTGCTGGGGACTATACATGGAAAAACAAGGAGAGTATAGAACAGTTTTAAACCCATTTTAAACCCTTATCCATATTTGTTCATACAATTCAAACAAGAACATTTATTATTTAGACTAGTATGCATATAAAGCAACAGGAAGAGACCTGAACAACACAAAAAATAGAATAATAATAAAGAAAATGAAGATCACAAACAACATTTCCCTGGCAACATATCCCTTATTATAGGCAAAACATGCAAAACCTCTTCAGGAATGGTAAATATAACATTTCTGTTTACTCTTCAATATCTTCCACGGCCACAGGAACAATAAAATCATTATTATTAGGTTTTGTGACAACCAACAGTTACCATTCCGCTTTGTGTAACTGTCTGTATCTTTTCTTAGTGAGCCCTTTGCCATGCGGTTGGCGTAGATGTTTTTGGCATCTAGTTCTCTCTCCTTCTCCTGATAGGAAAAGAAATGAACAACATGACATTTTCACACTGTGAGAAAGCTGCTTTTTCATGCACAGTCATGAAGGAAGACGGTTTGCTTCGGTGACTATGTGAAGCATATTTCTGTGCATATGCACCTTGAGTTTACTGGTCACTCGTTCCAGCTCCTCCTGCAGAATCCTGATCTCCTCCTGGGCATTGATGGTCTTCTTTCTTCCTGCAGCCAGCTGCCGGTGGTAGCTGCTGTTGCTCAGCTCAATGCTACGCTCCAGCTCCTTCAAACACACACATGCACACATTTTAAAATAACTACCACACGAAAGGGAAAACTAAGATCAAGAAAATATATGTGATTGAAAGCAAATTACTGCTTTATACTGTTTAATTTATGGATGACAGAGGTCTATTCATAAATAAGGGGCAAATTAATGCATGTATTATTTCCTACATGTCATTGTATAACCTTACTAACCAGATATCCATGATCTCTTACCAAGTCTGTCAGCTGCATCTCAAAGAGACCTGGGAAGCAGTATGTGCAACTTTGTTGCTGTTTTTGGACCAATACTGATCATGTCACAAGAGTATAATGTAGGGCAAATTCTATCAGCTCTGAAACCATATATACCCTCCTTTAGTTACAGTTCATACCAGAGCTGTCGGTGAGCATTCTACCTCCTTGAGCTTTTCTGTATTTTATAGAGTTATAGCCTGAACTGGGAACAGATTTATTTGGTCATTTGACCTGTAAAGACCAATAATGTAAAAGTCTATTTACAAATTAAGTAATATTGAAAATTGTAGAAATGTAAGACATTTTTAGGCCATTTCTTATTAATCAATAAATAGGTAAATAAATTAACTTTATAAAACATGTACCTTAATCTTGCACTCCGACTCCTGGGCCCGTGCTTTCGCTTCCTCCAGCCTGCGGTTTAGCTCATCTCTGGCTCCTAACTCTCGCTGGTCGACCAGCTTCTTCAAACGGGCGATGGTCGCCTGACTCTTCAGCAGCTGCTCTTCGCTGTCCTTTAAACGTCGCTCAGCTGCCCGCTCCCGCTCCTGAGTGCGTCTGAGACGTTCACGCAGCACGTGGGTCTCATTAGAATGGCGTGACAGCAGCGTGGAAATCTCGCCTTCTGTGTCATTATAGCGCTGCAAGGCTTTCTCTTGACGCACCTGAAGCTGCAGCACAGAAAAAAGACATTCAACTTTAGGATGCCACAAATGTTAAAGCTAAGGACAAAGAAATATAATTTCAATGTGAAGGATTATGTGACAGATTATGTGTGTGTTTATGTTGCACAGCATCAATACTGGCCACTAAAATCCGATATAGTTTAATCAAGAGTCACCTCATCCATTCAAACCAAACTTAACGTTTGGGCATACCTGTCTGAGAACTCGATTTTCTTTCTGCAGCTCATCGGTGCGCTGCTGCAGCTCAGCAAGATAATTACGAAGTTCATTGATCTTTAGCAGGCGAGCAGAAAGCACCCTCTTAGTCACCAGGTCCAGGTCTTTAGGTGGTGTGGACTCCTTGCTTTGTGACTGCACTCCCCTGCGTTGCTGGTGGGTCAGTCGTTGGCCACCCGGACGCTGCGGACGGGAAACACCCCTCCGCCCCACACCACCTAAGAGACAGAGAAACATACATGATGTGGAAATAATTTAAAGGTAATGACAAATAAAACACTTATTTATATGCACTTCCAGGCCATGGTAAACATAATTTAAGGATTTGGCTACAGTAGGTAAGACATACTAGCCTGTTAAAGCTAATTCATAACCAAATTCACAGGTTTAATTCGTTCATTTATACATATCTGATCACTTCATTGGTTTCCAGTACATACCTGTCTTATAAAGGGGGCTGCTAGAAATTCTCTTTGTCCGCACCCCTCTTTGAGGATTAAGGTATGGGGTCTGGGACTGGTTGTATGGTGAGAGTGAACGCTCTGAAAAAGACTCATTCTCATAGTCCTCCGAGTAACATGACCCACTACTTCTCCGGTGCTCCTCATCTGATATCTGGTCTCGATCAGGGTCTGAATGCCACGTCCAGGTTTTTGATCTATTTTCAACATAGCTGTCTTTTTCATCTTCATCCTGAATCTTGTCCCGGAAGTTCTTTTTGCGTTTTTGGAAGGATGATGCTTGAGAATCTTTCTTTTCATTCCGGAGGGACTGGCGACTTAGAACAACATCCTTATTATCTTCACACAGGTCAGGGGCACTTTTAGATTCCATGTTGAAATGCTGTGGATTTAAACACAAAAAGTGGGGAACAAATCACAGACTCTGAATGACATTTTTTAGATTTTTAGGAGTTACAAATTAACAGTGGGCTTACTTGTACAGGATGTACACTACCAGTCAAAAGTCTGGACACACTTCCCCATTCATTTAAATGGGAAAGTGCGACTGGTAGTGTATACCCTATTTCACATCGCTATATTAAAAGTCCCCTGGTAAACTAACCAAAACATTTGTACTGTGCAGCCCTGGTCAAAATTCCATAAATTCATCCAAACCAGTAATAAGAAGCTAGGCCAGCTGGTTTCTCTGTGGTTTCCTGTATTGTGTATCTTGGTCACTAAGCGACAACACACGACTTGGAATTTTCCATGAAGCTGAATGATGTATGATATCACTGTTCCACACCGCTACTGCAATGTACAAATGACCAGCTTTCCCCCTTCTGCCCTGGTGACTTATTAAACAGCGAGATCATTATTTTTGACTGCAATGTACAATGCCGTGCACTGCACATGTACACACATTCACAGGATATAGAAAAAGGAAGAGAAAAAGAAAAATGTGGAATTCTGGTGTTTCCAACCTAATGTATATTCTTACTTTGTTGATTTTAGATATGGCATTGAACATTTAATATTAATGTGCTCCATATCATCTTATGCATTTTTATCTGTACAGCATTAATACTTCCTAAAATATTACATATAAAATATTTTTTATCCATGCTCACAGCCTTCAGTTTTTTTCTTTGTGTTTGTATCATAATGGATCAAACAATCTTAACTGGTTTGAAGAATAAACACATAAATCAAACCTCACACCAAGGAACGAGTAGGCTCCATAAAATTTGTGTTAATGGAATATAAAGATCATGCATTCATCTGGCCTTTTCATCAACCCTGACAATAACAGAATCAATCACGGTCAAGTATTCAGTGCCACACAGCCTGCACCACCATTAATGGACAAGAGCATCATTGTAGGTCAAGCAGGGCAAAAGATCCTGCACCTGAATACAAACTGAAAACTACGTTAAGCTTTGTCGTATAACTTTGATGAATGATACTTGCTTTTTAAATGCATTCTTAAAGGTTTTAACAGGAAAATGTCTCTTCTGTAAAGCTGTTAAGATCCACATGCAATCAGGTAACAACCAGTCTCGTGAAAACACACATACAGGTGTTTGTTGTCAAGGGCTTACTAAAGCGGCATTAGTAACTATACCTGGCCTGTTCTTTCTAACATGAACAGACCAGATTAAAGTTGGCCGTCTGTTGTTGACAGGTGCATTGTTGTCAAGTCTGCTCGCCAAGTCACAAAAAAGACTAAATATAGCACCTGTAGACAACCACACATCTCTGTTCGTGTGCAAATGATCGAACAGACATAGATAAAAGGAAAAAGTGGTAAACGAAACAAAAAGCATTTCGGCATAGTGTCACCAGCAAACGTTAGCCCATAAGGGGTTCAAGAAAGCTAACGGTGCTGGATAAGTGACCGCTAACCAACGTTATCCTACTGCTAATAAATGCTAACATAGCAACAAGAAACTACCATCAACAGGTGGGGTGTGTTTGGTTTTAACGCTACCTTCGGAGTCTCCTGGCACCAACTTGTCTGTTTCACGTTAAACTATCTACTTACCTACTACCATGATAGCGTCGTTTGTCTTGACTTCGTAGCAATTAACAGCTTATTCTTTAGATTCGACTGGCTAATATTAACTACACAGCTTCAACCACTAGCGAGCTAGCGATAACTAACGTTAGCTACCCTTAGCTATAAGAAGGCATATTGTCCACCCTTTCTGGAAACAAACAGTCACGGCTGTCACTTTTAAATGAATCGTCCTGTAAAAATATTCACAGTACAAGATCGTTCTGATGCTGTTTTTTCAGCACACGCCTTGAAGTTTGCTCTAGTCCAGCCGCTGACACCGTACCATGGTAACAGCACAACTCCCTGCAATACCTGTCTATCACCACAGTGGCGCTGTAGCGCGTGTTATGTTTAGTAAAAGATTTTATAGGCTAGGCTATATGTTATTATTATGAGCTAACGTTGCTTTGTATAGCCTGTGTAATTCACAGCTGCACATGTTTAAGCTTTTTATATTAACCGGAAAGAAGGTTTGAGGTTCGAGCCCCGGCTGACCCAGTGCCTTTCTTGCAGAGTTTGCATGTTCTCCCTGTGCCTGCGTGGATTCTCTCTGGATAAGTGGTATAGATGATGGATGGATGGATTGATATTAACTTGGGAATAATAATGGAAAATAAGGAGTAACATGATATTAATTGGCCAAATACAAATTACGTTGGTGGTGAGATTCATGCAAGATATATGTGCCAGAAAATCTGCAGTATTTACAGTTGTTGATATGGTTTCTTACTCATCCTGTGCAATGCAATGCGTTGATGTTTATCTAAAATTTGTCAGTTTATTCGCAGCAGCACGTATGCCTATAGTGGAAACAAAAAGCCAGAAGTGTGCTTTTACCAAAATCTTATTTTGTACCTATAATAATAGAAAATGTCTGGACATTTTTCATCTGTATTTAGTGGATCCAAATCTGCATTGAATAGCCTAGTAATCAGCCATTCCTAATACACAGCCATTTTTTATTGATGAAAAATATGAAAAAGCAAAGAAGATGCTCTAATTCCTAAAACATAAATGAACCTACAATCAGATCAGATTTTACATCCCAAACAAATTGAGCCACACATGGTCACCAAAATTGACTGAAAGGGTAACAAAACTAGTAGGCAGAAAACAACTTTGCTGGTCAAAAAGCTGCCAGAATTTAGTGGAGAACTAGGTTACACCTCTATTTCTTACATTATCCGCCTACTATGCAGCTTAGAACCATGGTTCCTACCTGTATCAAGTGGCCGGACGTTTGCTAATATAATACTAAAGGATTGCAGTATCCAATATTTTATAACGTATGAGCCAAAAAATGATTGATAACAAAACAGACATGCTCACTGGAGCTGTAAACGTGATGATAAATATTACTGTACTGATTGTATACTGTAGTTTGAAAGTTTGACCGGAAGTCCAGTGTTTAGTATGTGCAGTGACAATAACGCTCGAGCGCCTCTAGAGAGCACGCTGTCTTATTTTCAGTTTAAATACTGGAGACGCTTTTCTCACATAAAGCAGCCTGTACTGTAGACTTTTTAGTCGTAATTTGGGGGAATAAACAGGATTCGCTAGCACCAAACTGTTGTCGACTGTCTCACATTCATTTGCGATTAAAATGGTTATCAAGGTTTACATAGCCTCCTCAACTGGCTCAGTCGCGGTGAGTAGCCTATTTAATCTCTCAAATGTGTTATCAGGTTTGTTGACAGGTCCATATTAACAATGCAAACATACGAAAAGCCATTTTAAAATGTTTATACTCACTGAATAGTCGAATAGTATTCATTGCAATTATATAACAGGACTTGGAGTTCGCTCTTCACAAGCAGTGAAGCAATTATTAAGACAGATAGAAAGGATACACAGTAACTAAGATGCGCATTCTGTGCAATTTATGCGTCACATCAGCCTGTTAAATTTGCACTTTACTAGAAGGATTGTATTTAATGTTCCAATTGGTTTATAGTTTTGGTTGCAGCCCCACCTATAAACAGAACAAAGTACGTGTTGGGTGTGCAACAACCATAAATGACTCATCTGCACTCCTGCAGGATCTATAGGCAATATTACCTAAGACCTCAAAATGACATACCACATTAGAATCTAGGTTTGTCTGATTGATTCAAGCAAAAACGGTATTAGAAGTAGATCTGTGTTGCATAACCAGGCTGATATTTAAAACAGTATAAGGTTATTCCAAATAAAGCTGTTACACCTTCAAGTATCAAGCTCTTAAAACGATTGTTCTAGTTTTAAGTAATGGATGCGCTGGCTTCTGCAACAACATCTGTACTACTGAACCTCTGTGAGATGTTCATTTCAGCCTCTGAATAAATCTAGGGAATGGTTCCTATTAAGCAGCAGCTGGCCATAATCTAAACACTTGTATATGTACTCTGGGTCTTGTGATGTGCTGAAATGATTAATAGAAAATGAGTTGCCATCTATTTTGTTAATGGTCTAATAATTTAAATCAACAAACATTTTTTTGTGTCAGCTTTGTGAATGTGAGGGCTTGACATTTCATAGATTTGTCAATTAATGACTTTATAAAAAAAATTCTACAACCAAAATGATTGTGAGTTCAGCCCTAGTCTTGTTGGCACAAGCCATAGAGAGAGTGCCCTTCTGAGTTTGAGCAGAAAATCATCAAACAGCACTTGCTTGAATGCTTAAAGTCTTAGGTAATAGAGCATATGAGTAATATATTTATTTTATCATGCTTCGTCTTGGTGAAGGAGGGCAGCACAATCTTTGAGAGTTTACAGAGGAGTTATTTTTAACTGTATGACACATAGGTTCAAAACACACAGACTCTGTCTCTCACACATGATGCACAGCCAAGCACACTTGAGGAAGTCCACCATTTGTGTCAGTGTCAGGCTCAGGTGTATGGGGAGATAGGGCTGGGAGGTAAGGGGGTCATTACTGTGAGATGGAGATAGAGGAAAACATACGTAGTGAGAAACCATCATTTGGAGAACTGGAAAAAAACAGATGCAACAAATGCAAGAATATATAAGCAGTAAAAGACAGAGTCAAGCAAAAGTAATAATAACAGTTGGCAGTGTCACAACATCAGATTAGTAGGGCGGAAAACATCAGCGCACAATGAATAAAGTACAAATTAGGTTATCCCCCCATCCTCCATAGATGTGTGTTGGGTTCAGTCTCATCACATTTTGCATGTTGTAATCTCCCTTTTCCTAATATTTATTAGAAACGGAGGTTGTAATCATAAAAATAGTTACAACCTTTGGGGAATTATGAGAAAGCATGGTAATGGTGGAGTCCAAGTTAAAAATAGTTTTTATGAGAAAATCGAGGTTCATATTTCGAAACTACAGTTGATCAGGGAAAGTGTTGGTTTTCTGATCGTTTTTCTTTTCCTCCTCACTTTCCCTCTGTCTTTCATTGTTCATGGATTCTCTCTTAACCTTGATCGTATCTTTGCATTTCAGAAAGTACTCTCAAAGAATGCATGCCTACTCATATGCTGTAATGTGTTGCATGTCTTGCATACATACAGACACACAATTCTGAACTCAGCCATCCCCTTACACACATACTCTCACTCAGCTCTTTTATTATTTAGACCCGTGCTGTCGCCCTTTCAGCCCAGAGGTAGGTCAAGTCATTTATAGTATGTTGTTTTTCAGCAGTGTGACATACAGTAGCCTATAGACTAGAAACTAACAGTGATTCTATATGGAGTTTTAACCTTTGACCATAACAAACTGGCATTTTTCTATTTAAAGACAGTCTGGTCTTATGTAAAGCTGTTTTATGGCCACACACAGAACTACTGTTATAGGAACACACTGTCATAAAGGTAAAACAGTAGCCCCATTGTGACCTTCAGCAGCCGTAAAATAATGGGCACACACATATATACACGAACAAGCACACAGGGAAGACATTGTTAAAATTGAACTTATTGTACTGTATTTTTAATTTTCACCATTGAAGACAGAGTACTGACCCATACACAATGGTATTTAGCTCTCTTTTTCATTTGTTCACACTGTATAATCTGCCTTTTGTGATGCTAATAAATGTTTTAGTATTTGTTGTATATTTCGGAAGAATATTATGTACTTGTGTTCACAACAGATTATAACATAGAGATGAAAAAACTATGGATAAATATACAAAATGGATGTTGTTGTAGGAGGTAGAATCCATGAATGATTGGTCTAAAAATGGGAAAAATAATATATTCTTCATCTACATGAAACAGATATTGATAAATGCACAAAATAAAACTGTAGGAATTTGGTAGAATAATATATTTTCCCCCTTTCACTCGAGTTATTTGATCACAAAGGACTAACTTGAGAATCATTGGTTGCATGTGGGAACACAAAACAGGAACCTGATTAATTCCTTTTGAATAGAATAATAAATATAGCAGTTGAAATAATAATTATTATTTATTTGTAGTCATGTATTATAAGGTTAAAGGCATACTGTAAGAAAAGGTTGCTTATTAGTAATCCTTAATGACCCTTTTACTAATGGAGTCACTGTGCACACTGCATACGTAAAGTACACTTTAAGAAACGCTGCTCTGGTTTGATGGGTGTCCACTTACTGTTTGTTATTACAAGAGTGTATTAAATACTCAGCAGCTTGGCCTAGAGACAGGGGTATGCTAAACACAGTCTCTGCCTACACTTTATATACACATGTATTGTACATCCATAAAGACATTATGAGATCATTCTTTTAAATGTGCATCTTTATCTCACCGTCAGTGACCCAAGTTTCTTCCACCGTCTTTGTTTGTCTTATTCATTTTGGATCTTTCCAGGTAAAAAAGCATCAGCAAGCAGTGATTGGTTTTCTGGAGGCCAATCGAATTAGCTTCCAGGAAATAGACATCACCATGCTGGAGGATCAGAGGCTCTGGATGTACCACAACATCCCCAGAGACAAGTGGCCAGACAAAGGCAACCCACTGCCTCCACAGATCTTCAATGAGGATTGCTACTGTGGGGTATGATGAAAATCAGTTGTAATGTTTAGAATGAGCAGCCTTCGATTAGGTAGCCATGCACTTGAAAAGAACCTTTGAGGTAGAGATTGTATTTGATTTGTTGTACACTATACAATACGTATATGATATGTATGTTAGTACAAGGTTGAGTTTGCTATGCTAGGAGTTTGATCAGCTCGAGTATGCCAGTTTTTGTCCTCCACTGAGGTTGTACGCTGCTCTGCAATCCAGTCGTAATCCAGTTTTGCAGATGGGGCAGATTATCTGCTCTCCCTGCCATCACTCTGACTGACCAGGGTAATCCAACATTACTCTTCAATGTCCTGATTATTGAACTGTATTAAAACCAGCAGTGGAAAGACTCTTTGTCAGGGCTGTTTACACAATCTTTAAACTTGTAGAGATTGTGTAACACTCAACATCCTCATTTTTTCCCCTTCCCCTCAGGACTATGAAGACTTCTTCCAGTCAAAGGAGAACAACGCTGTGTTTGCATTCCTTGGGCTCAGTTCCCAACCCTCAGTGAAAGTAAGTGAATGTACACACAATCACGCACATATACACGCGTGTTTGTTGTCTTTTCTTGTGGGGGACTTGACATGAACTCACATTAATTTCCTGGAGACTTACCCTAACATTAATCAGTCCCCACAAGTTGAATCTGTAAGCAGGTTTTGGTCCCCACAGTGTGAGGAATACCAAGCTAGCGCACATAAACCCAGAATTTCTGTGGTATAAGTTGCCACCAAGGTTTGCTGTCAGTTCTGTTTTCCTTGAACATGAAACAATGCACCACATCTCCACAGTGCTCTGGCCCTGCAAGTTGCCTCTGAAACATGTGATGTATAACTTATTGCTATTTCATGCACATCAGCATTTTTGGGTCGATGGCAAAAAATGTCAGTATATCTAGATTCAGTGGCCCTGACTCCTCTTCTCCTCTAATCTATTTTGCAGATTTTCTCCAGTCACATGTTTTTTCTGTCTCTCATCTAGAGGTTGATTGGATAACTCAGTTAGAAGAAATCTGATTATGCGTAAACTGGCAGATACATTCAGTCTGACAATGCTCCTGGATTTCATGTTTAGCAAAGAGATCTGATATAGGGAGAATGTATGCATCTAGTTATAGTGTGTATTGAATGGGTGTAGTTAGTCTAAGAGTGACTTAGAGGACACATGAGTTGAAGATGCAGTAATCAGACAGATAATTAGACAAACTGTTGTGCTCTTTTTTCCCCAATCTTTCTAGGATTCTGAGTCATAGATCCATCTGCTGGTATGCGCCCAGGCAACCTTAAAATATGAGGACAAAAACTGCACCATGTCCTGTGTTGCATCACCTCCTATCCCGTGATCTTCCATTCATGATGCTAGTATTTTGCCAAACATCATCTGACCCCCTGCATGTCCTCTCCTGACTTTAAAAACTCTTTAAAACAACATTCCACCATCACATAAGTTTCCAAGAAGTGTCTTGATTCTCAAGAGGCCACAGAGGCTTAATCACAGAAGAGGAGGATCAACTTTATAATGGATGCATTTGTGTTTCCTTTTCATATTTAACACACTGTGACAGCAAACACCGTCTCACAATGCAGTAGCATCAATTCTTTGCAAACATGTAGCAGCTTTTGCATCAGCAGACCATTTGGTTTGGGTCAGTTTGCAATGCAGTGAATGTAGAAGAAATGATCAGGTGCACTGCAAGTCACCTGAATGCACACTTGAATTGTGTGTATGCATGTCTTATTGCGTGTGTATCTGTCTCAGTCAGCAGCTGTTAAAGAAGGCTGTGTTAAATGAGAGGGCTGCACTTAATGCAACCTGTGTATTTTGAAGTTAGAACAGGCTGCTCCACACACAAGTTCTTATATATAAATTCCTTGTTCCTAAGTCTAGCTGTTCTTTAGCTTAATGACAAAATTATATTGCTAACACAGGAGTAAAATGAGGTGTAAAAGAGTCAGCGTATAATATAATGGACATTAAATTTCTGACCTGACACTTTATCCAAATGATGTTTAATAACTAAACATTTGAGATTACAATATAATCAAAATAACGATATACAGTGTGTCAATATGCTACATTAACAGTTTTAGACTAAATAACCATAACCCTTAGGGTTAGGGTGCGGAGCTCAGCCACCCATGAGGAGCTCAGAGTAGAGCCGCTGCTCCTCCACGTTGAGTGGAACCAGTTGAGGTGGCTCGGGCACCTATTTAGGATGCCCCCTGGACGCCTCCCTGGGGAGGTATTCTGGGCATGTCCCTCCTGGAGAAGGCCTCGGGGCAGACCCAGAGCACGTTGGAGAGACTATGTCTCCCGGCTGGCCTGGGAACGCCTTGGGGTTCCTCCTGAGGAGCTAGAGGGGGTGTGGGGGGAGAGGGAAGTCTGGGAGGCTCTGCTCAGTCTACTGCCCCCGCGACCTGGTCTTGGACAAAGTGGACAAAGATGGATGGATGGATGTTATAAAAATTAGTTGTTCTATTCAGTCTACAATAATTTCGATTATTATTTGTTTAGATCAGTGAACATCATGTCTCAAAATCCAGTCCCCTGTAGTCACACATTTCTGTAAGACTTTCTGTTGTGTTTTTCTGAACTTGATTAACATTCTGAAAAACTAGGAATTAATTGCAAAAGCACTTACAGGATGAGAAAATAATGGTTCATCAGTTGTATATGCGAACATTATTGTGAGATCACCTGAAAGCAGTAGCTACAAGGTAAAATTATGGCAAAGTTTGCTGACTAATTTATGTAGCTCCAGTGGTGCAGTCATGATATAAACTAATACAGGTTGAACAAATAGTGGTTACAGGAAGACTGAGTGGGGGGAGTAATACTTCAAGGTTCCTAAAAGACTCAGAGTTGGAAGGGGAAGTTTTAGCAGTGCCAGTGACACAATAAAATGTGGGACATGAGATCTGTTGGCTCAAGCTGTTAATATTTCTGTTACTGTGAAGAACAAAAACAGCATTACCCCATTCTATGAGGTAAGAAGTACTATGATATTTACTACTATGATAATCCATAATTACAGTCAGTGTCACATGAGGTATAAGTGTGCACTTTACAGATTGCTACTCTTATCTGACAGAGGGAAGACGTTTTTGAGATAATAATCATCCATTTATTAGTGTTCAATGGGGAAATTTACACACTCACACAATGAGGGCAGTGCCCAAGGACACTTCAGCATATGGATGGGGGACAGCAGCAATCGAACTGCCAACTTTCCAGTAAGAAAACAGCTGCTCTCTTTCCTGAGCCACAGCTGCCTCGATAATCGACCTCTGCCCTGACAAGCCATTACTCAGCTCTTCCTGCTGTTCCTCCCCTTCTCTGTTTCCCAATATCTGAATAAACAGATGCTGAAATGTGAGCAGACTGCCTGACTGTAATGGTGTTTTCAGTATATCCATTTATATTGTTAATTTACATATTAAACTATAGTCTACTAACAATTGTGGTAAATAACTGTGGTAACCTTTCACACACTGGACGCGTGAACTCTGTTTTCTGCTGACACACTGAATGCCTATGGTATCTTTATTTACTGCAGAAGCAACTGTAACATCCGCAGGCCTTGAAAGTATCTCCTGTGAACCTCTCAGTGTTTTGGAAATCGGAAACTCTTTGAACACAGATGCATAATTGTTCTCCGTGTACCCTCCTTTTGTGTAACGTTATCCTCTGCTTTATATTGAACTGAATCTTCCTTTATTCTTTGAGTCTCTGTAACATGCCTCTCAGAGTGCTGTTGTAGACAACTCCTTTCTGCAGAAATACATTACACAGAAGATGTATCCATCTCAATTCTCTTTATTGCTCACTCACTGATGGTTGTTCATATACAGAATTAAAGGAAACACAATTTTTTTCTTTAACACTGACATTATTACAAAATGAACATAGACTGGTCATAGTTAACTGGTCATTTCTATTCAGCACACTACGAAGGTTTGGTTTTGGAGAGTCTTTCATCCACTGGATTAAAAGGCTATATACATTACCAAGAGCTACAATAACCACAAATGGGATAATCTCACAAAGTTTCACACTTTACCGGGGAACTAGACAAGGATGCCCACTCTCACCATCTCTATTCGCCATCTTCATTGAACCTCTAGCAGCAGCAATACGACAGAATAATAGTATCAAAGGAATACAAGATACTAACTCAGAACATAAAATTAGCCTCTATGCGGATGATTTATTATTATATCTACAGGACCCTTACAGTTCAATATATCACACTAGATAAACTGTCATCCACCCATAAGAATAATATACCAACCTTCACTGACACTTGGAATCCATTTCTAATTTCTTTTAACTTAAACCAGATACCTGAGGCTGAGGCCACACACATTCCCACAAACTCCTAGAAATATAACAAGCTGCTTTTTACTTCATTATTGTTACTGTCATTAGTCCTCACTGGCCATGGTTCTGTTTGGAATGTCACACCTATCAATCAAACCAGTTTAACTGAGAATATTACCTACCCCCCATTTTTTTCTCTTCTCTCTCTTTCTGATCATTTACCGATCTGTTAATTTCATTTATTTCTGTTTTATGAATGTGCTTACATATATATCTGAGTGTATACATAAGTATGTGAATGGAAAAGTATATAGTATACGATTGATATTGCTTTATTGCTTTCATTACTTTACATTTGTACCCCCTCCATCTTCCTAGTTTATTTGGTTTAATTCTATTTTCCCTTAAGTATTGAATATCAGTCTGCACAGAGTTGGCTACACACACACTACACACTTTCACACACACAACTTAATACTCTGAATGAATAATCCCTTTGCCTCTTTTGTTAATGTGTCATGTCCATTTGCCGTGACCTGCCTCACTTCCCTCTTTTTCTCCCCTCTCTCTCATCCCGCCTGCTCAGCGACACTGTTGAGACGCCTCACCTGATAATTGACTCCAGGGCGCAGCACACAGCTGACGCTCATTCCACTAATCACTTCCCTTTCTTATTTAAACACCTGGCAGACGCTCCGTCGCTGCCAGAGCATTAATGTATTTTGATCATGTATACGCGATGCCAACGCTGACAGTTTCTGTACGGTTGTTTTCTTATGTACTATATATTGGGTCACCTGGTTTCAACGCTGACAGTTCCTGTGCTGTTGATCCCTTTTTCTACACCTCCGGCGATTCTCATCTGCCCGTCCTCCTGGTCTCCTCGTCCCTCCTGGTCTTCTCCTGGGTTCCTCGTCTCTCTGGTTCATCGTTCCTCCTGGTTCCTTGTCGTCCTGGTCCTCTGACTCTCCTGTTCCCTACAGTCCTCCTGTCTACTCACCTGCCCGTCCTGGTCTCCTCAGTCATCACTGCCCTACTCTGGTTAATGGACTATACATATACTCAGTACTTTGTTTGCTTTTCTTCAATAAACCACTTTTTTTTACTAGCACCTGGGTCTGCATCCTGAGTCCTACCTCTTGCTCGCCCTCATCCCCTGGCTGAGGGGACTCAACCATAACAGTAAGACTTACATCTCATCTGGTGTCTGAGTCCTGCAAGTTGAGTTCAGAATCCACTTTACTAAAGACTGATTAGTCTTAACAGAACAGACTGGCCACAATGGAATCAGCAGGCTCAGATCCAGGCCAGCCGTCCTTTCAAACCATTCTGCCACACCTGTCAGCTCGAGAAACCAATGACCTCATGATACGCCATGTTTTTTGACTTCATGGCATTCCACTAGACACTGTGTCTTATTGAGGGCCTCAATTCATCTCTTGGGTTTGGAGAGCATTTTGTACAGCTCTTGGTGCTACTGTCAGTCTGTCCTCCAGTTTCTATCCTGAGATTAACAGAAAAGCTGAAAGACTCAACCAAGAACTAGAGGTTGCGCTACGATGTTATGGCCACCAACCCAACAACATGGAGTAACCATCTTCCCTGGGTCGAATACACCCACAGCTCCCTCACTAGTTCTGCCACTGGACTATTTCTGGTCAAAGCCTCTTTGAGATACCAACCCCCATTGTTTCCCACCAATGAGATAGAAATCGCTGTGCCTTCTGTACAGCTACACCTTCATTGTTGCCACAAGATGTGGAAGGAGACACATGCAGCCCTTCTTTGCACTTCAGACCAAAACCGTTGCCTTGCAGACACCCACAGAAGCTCAGCACCAACTTTCCTCCAGCTTTCTTCCAGACACATTCCCTTAAAGACTGACTAGAGGGAAATTGGCTCCATACTTCTTGGGATAGTTTGCCATTGAGAAAGTCATTAACCCTCCATGCAGGTTCATCCTACCTTCTATACCTCTCAGGTTAAACCTGTCTCTACCAGATCATTAATTAGTTATTTGTATGTCAGGGCATCACTGAAAATGAACAGTTGCTCTCAGCTGGTTTTTCGCTGGTTAATAAAAGGTTGATGATGATGGTCATGAAGGAGAAACAGCTTACAAAACTGATGCAGTGCATGTTTCATAAATTATTTTTAACATGAAAGAATAAAATCTAGACAATGTTGGACAGATTTGATGAATGACACTCTACCTTGATTTGTCTAAAGCTTTGTTCCAGCTATTGCTGCTGATTCTGAAGAAGTTAATTATTAAAAGCTGCTGTATTTGTCTTGCAATTGACAGCAGTGGCACTTAACACTTCACACAAAGTGTGGTTGGACAGCTATTGTACTTTTCAATAATTATGCTAAAACCATAATTGGCAAATCACAGAAAGTGGTTTAATTTGTATTAATATACATTCAATTCAATCTAAAGTGTCATAAAGCTCTAAGGTAAAATGATGCAGTCTGCAAGAAAAGGGGGG